TGTACTCCGTTAGCAATAGAGAAAAATAACGAAATTGACTGCGGCGGTGGTGCTCGATGGGATCGGACGCGAGGCTTGTAGGCGTGACAATGATGTGGGCTCAAACGGAGCGGATTATCTCTCTCCCTCGCGCGCGCGCGCGTAGACCAAAACCGTACAGACGAGTAAACAATAAAACTCTGTGAATTGCAATATATTATTATAAATACATTATTAAAACGAGTGCGAGGCGTGTGCATAGAACAACGCGAATCGTACCGATACCGAGAGCAAATCAACGCGTTTGCCGCAGCATTTATATTTTTATTTATTATTTACTTTACCGCTTAAAGCACACATTTATGTGTAATAATACATTTGTATACTGGATGCGTTCAAAATTTCAGAACGACCTAGGTGCCTCCTCCTCTTTCTCTGAACAATTTATCGCCATGAAACTATATATAAATAAAACAGATTGAAACTATAATTAGTGCATAGTTTTTTATGTATACAAATTTTATGGTCCTACTGTATATACCAGCGGTTCTCAAACTAAGGTACATGTACCACTTATGGTACGCGAAAGGCCGGATGGTGGTAGAAAATAAATTAAAAATTCAATATTTAACTCGTATATTAATTTAAAAACACTAATAAATTTGTATTAATAAATAAATAATAATTTAATTTTAGTATTTTACTGCCTTTTTATTTAAAATAAATGTATTTAAATATGTGAAGTTTGTATGGTTCTATTTTTAATCATTAATGGTACGTGACTGATTGATAATATACTCAAGTGGTACGCGAAAAAAAAATTTGAGAACCGCTGGTATATACCATTTAGTGTTTGTATTTTAGATATCAAACTTTTAATTATTCTTTAATACTTTAACAATTACAGTTGTGTATGTTCATTAAGAATTAATAATTAAGAAAACAAAATATTTTATTTTCACATAAATATATCGTAGAATTTTTCCATTTTTTCATATTATGTAATAAACGGAATAACTAAATACTATACTCTGTATACAAGGGGTATTGGTACATACCTTTTAAATAGATGCACATTTAAGGGGATCTAAGGAGATATCAGGTTTAATTAGAAACTGTCTCTTAGAAAAACCATTTTCCACAATATTTTTTTTGCATTATGTTATAACTTACGTACTCAATGTAATACGTGCAAGCATTTATAACATATTTTATTATCTATATTGTTGTTTATAATAGGTGTGTACAGATAAATTAAAATCAATTGTAGAACTGGAATTATCAAAATATTTTTTTATTTGAATATAAAATTAAAATTATACATGATAAATCTCATATCTATGGGCATTGAATAATAAGAATGTTTAAAATTATCATATATTTTTACCGAAAAAAAGGGGGATTTTTTTTTTTCATAATACATAACTAATAAATACAAATTGTGAGAAGATAAAAATAACATTTAAAGTAATGAAAATTATAATTTCACACATCATAGTTGACCTATAAAAAATAGTTAAAAATATTAAAACCCTTGAATATCAGTTACTTCTTTGACTGTTCTACGTTAAGAACAGAAAGAAAAATAATTAATAAGACTTAAAATGACTCATTATATTTAGTCACTCAACACGTCATCCATTAAATACATTCTTATGTGAATTTTGGTATTTATAAAATAAATTAACTAAACATGATGGCTTCATCACTTCGTTTTTTAAATATTTCATCAAATTATATAGAACTAATACATAAAATACTAAATGATTAATGAAATATTCAAGTATATTATAAACATATATAACATTATAGTATAATCTTTAGTAAAATTCTAAAATAAAACATATAAAATTCTTATTAATTAAAAATTCTATTAAATGTTAAATATAATTTAACGGTTTAGGTGTTTATATTTAACACCTACGTTCTAAACAAATAGTCAACCATTAATACAATAATTATATAATTTGAATATAAACTGTCTTAAAATAAATTATACTAAAGTAATTTTTATGATAAAAATATCTATTAAAATAATTTCAGTACTACAGTAAAATCTCACTAAGGGCTATTGTACTTCAATAAATAATAAACATTAGATAAATACTAAAAAAATGTTTGCATTTATGCCATATTAAATATAATTTTACTCTATTTAAAACGGCATATTTTATCTACATTAACTGACCAATAAAGTTCCATTTTTTATTTTTGAGAATGAAAATAAATCGACTAATATGTAATAGTAATATATATTTTAAGTAGGTAAATGATTGTTTTTATTTTATAAAATATGTGCTAAATAATATCGTAAAATAAGTGTTATTTTTTAAACCGTATGTATGAATTATGATTATATTTTAGTGTGATTTTTGTTCCTGTTTCTTAAAGAATAAATTTCTGTTATCAAAAGTGTGGTTAATAGTTTTTAATGAAATATAAACAGCACAGGTTTCATTGATCAAAGTATTTTTTTCCTTAGATTTGATTAAATTAACTGTAAATAATAAAATTTCACGTGCATAAGAAAACGAAAAAATTTAAAGTAAAAAATGTGCTACTTTTTTAACACTTAAAATGTGTTTGGAAACGAATTCCTGATTTTCATTATTTCATTTTATAAATTCTTAAAACTCAAATTTTATAAATGCCTAGCACTATTTTTTCACGAGCCATTGAAATTTGGCCAACGTTTGCCATCTTTGGCACGCATGCCATAGGTTCACCACCACAATATTGAATATCATCATTGAGCAATGGCGTACATACGTGGGGAGGGGGTCCGGGTTCAAACCCCCCCGGGGTCAAAAAAAAAATTGTTTTATTATTGATGACGTGTAATATATTTGTAGTTTCATTATTACGCTTTGAACTTAAAATATACAACTATACAAATGTTATGATAGTTAAATAATTATATTGATAGGTGTTTGAAAAGTTTTGTTAACTATGTTGTTTTTATATTCCAATAGCTATTAATTTACTGTAATGTAAATAAACTGTAAATTGGTAAAAAAGTTGTATAAGATAATATCTATTTATAGCAGTTATTTATCTTATTTATATGTGCAACGAAAAAAAAAAAGATAACGATTATTTTTGTTAACCCTCCTCCCCAGAGTAAGATTGAATGTACGCCACTGAATATAAGTATATATTATAATAATCAATTATACATATAATTTATATTTTTCTATATAGTTTATTATTTGCTCATGTTTTACAGTATTAAAGCATTGATTAAATATCAATGATTAAAGCAAAGCTGAAGATTAACTATAATTACATAAATACACAAATAAATTAATTGTCTTTTTGGTCCTTGGACTGAATAATGGTCATGGGTGTATTGGGTTTTAAAGAAAGAATAACTAATTTCTTTAGTAAAACGATTCTGATAAATACTTCAGTATAAAAATATACCGTTTATTACTTTACCATTTTTAGTCTAATTTTTGGTACCTACTTAGGTTATTTTTTTTTTTTTAAATTGTTTAAAATTTTCTTGTTTGACGAAGGAGAAATATTTTTAAACCAAATATTCAAAACATATTGTTCTATCTGTATCCAAAGTTTCATTATGATTGGATGGACCATTTTTTTTTATTTTAATAAACATTTAATATTGAAAGTGTATGTAAAAACAGTAAATTTCGTTAAAATCGTATAATAGTATACTTAAACGCTTAAAAATTAAATCCTGATATATTATTTTTGAAATTTTTTTAGTAAGTATCGTTAGATAGGTATATGAGTTGGATGATACTATATTTTCAAGTCTTAATAATCAAAAATAAAAATTTTATTACATAAAAGTTCTAAATTTATACCAAGAATGTTAAACTTTTTTTGAAAATTTTGTCGAGTATGAAAAAAATATCTTTTTTATAAGAAACAAATATCAAGCTTCTAGTCACATTACTTTACGAGTTATAACTAAATAACAAAACTGAAAAATGATAGTCTCGTTTACAGCATATTTTTACCATTTTCCGCTGTTTTTCTTTACGCCTGGAAAAACTATTAAGTTATTAAAAATATTACCTGGTATATGAAACTATTGAACAAATGTTCTATCCAAAAAATTGTTTACAGATAAAAACAAATAGAAATAAACATCATTGTAAAAAAACCATGAGATCCTTCGCTTCACTCGGAATCTAAAATTGATTATATGGTTAAACATTTGTGTATGCAGACGGATTATCCGTTATATTTACTTGCACTATAAAATATAAAATTAAATTGAAAAATTTAAATTAAGTAATATTAAATATTTACTAAATATATTAGTAATTGTTGAATTGTACGGTTTGCGGGTATCTATAACCATTAAAAAACATGAAAAAAATAAAAAGGCTTCGGCACCCCCAGTTTTATCATTGAAATTTCGCGCCTGACCGTATATCCATCATGGAAACAAAATAAGTACAACGAACCTTTGTGACTGTTGGTAATGTACATGATTTAAATTTTACTTCGATTTCATATATTCAACAATAATAACAATTGAGTCCGACCAAAAATAACGATCTTGTTCGTCATACATAAATAAGTGAAGAATACATTAAAATGAGTCCATCATCAAAAATTCCAGGGGAGACACATCTGTGTCTCTCTGCAGCTTGACGTACGTTATCGATAGATTTATAATTAGTATCTATGATTTCCAAAACTCGTTCTCCCGTGATAAAATTTTGTCCATATGAGACAAGATTAGCTAACAAAATTAATTTAATATTTATTTATAATAAATTAATAAATATAATATTATATGTATAAATGAATAATAATGACAAAAATATCAAGAAGGGACATGTTCCCCCATTGACAACTTCCAATGAGTGTCCTGTTTTAAAACATAAATAGCATATATTTTCTTTTTTAACAATCGAAGATTGAGGTATAAAAATAAAATATTCATTAAAACTATATGTGGATAACCTGTAATAGGGAATCATATGATAAGTTTTATGTGTTGATAACAAATAACAAAATATAACACTGATACCATTAACCTATTTAATACTTGTTTACAGACTGATATTTTCAGGCCGTAAAATAATTTTTGACCTCGTGTTTTGAAATTTCCTATTTGCAATTAAGGCTGTTCTTTTTTTTTCAATATTAATATTATAGTTCAAATGTTATTTTATTTTTAAGTAGACTTATTTTTTATAGATATTTATAAACCTCCATTAAACCCTGTTAAAAATGGTGAGTACAATTATTGCATCTATTGGTTGATTTATATAACTTATCATCGTACATTATAAAGCCAACTTGTATTTCATGTATTAGGATGCCTTTATGATGATACAGCGCAAAAAGGTAACCATATTCACGGACGCTAAAGACAACATTTTGGTTCATGAACTCAAAAAAATGATCTCTCGTATGTACATGGCTAACTATGTTTAAGTTTTATAAAATTCACTTGTAAATTGTTCATTAATATTAAGCACAGTGAATGAATATTGAAAAAAGCATGCATTAATAAAATTATTTTTATAACTACACGACTCATGAATATAGTATAGTCTGCACTAAAGAAACTAATTTCAGTCATTTTATATGTAAATAATGAAATTTTGGCAACATATTAGCAATAAGTTAAGCATAATCTGCATAATACAATGTAATGGAACAGCACCTTAAGATTGTTTCATTTTTCTTTTATAAACAGATGATTAATATAATTTAATTTTATGATTACTTTTTTTTAGGTCTAACTCAAATAATTTCTTTATTTAAAACCTTTTATTTCTTTCTAAAACTTAAATGAAAGTTTCTATTCTGTATATTATTGACTTCTTCTATTATTAAATACATTATATGTAAATTTTTGACTAACTAATTGAATTTATTAGAAAACTTAATTATAATTCATGGCATCAAAGGTTAACAAGTTAACTGCCTTTACATTTTTGAGAATACCTCTGTAATAGCTTTGTGAGTTAATTTTAATACTCACCTAATCAAGTCAACCACGCTCTAATCAAAACAATGAGTTTGGTCATAAATGTTTTTGGTTTTATTTTAATAAAAATAGATGTTGATCTTATCATATGATGTTTACTGTATTCTGAATTGATTGTGCTTAAAATAGATTGAATTTTAAGTAAGAGTTAAATTTGATGCTCATAGCCAATAAGTGTATTTTCACAATATTTGTATGTTTAGCATGGCAACAGTTTCATTTTATGTTTAGGATTCCCAAAATATTGTGCGAAAATATAACAACAATAAACGATTATGGGTATTATAAAACTGATAATATTCAGAAAATAAAATATCTTACTAATTAAATATGTTGGTTCGTTGTTCGTTCACGTTAAACGTTTTGATATAATATTCTCTTATATTTCACAAATTTTAAATAACACAATTTTTTATAATGGATGATTTTGAAATTGAAAATATTTTAACAAATATGTCAGATGATGATGTTTACTCATCAGACGAATTATGTGCAGCTTGCCAGAAAGTGTACTGCATCGAATGTTTTTTTGATGACCACAGAGTCCGGACAAAATAAACATAATGTTATATGAAAATAGTATTGATTGAAAAGGATACAAAATTATGTTTTTAATTTATTTTATCTATAATTTGCTGTAATTATATTTTATAAGTTTATTAGTTTTTCAATATAATAATGATATGATATAATAATATGATCAATTTACAAACAATTTTCTATTACAAAATAAAATGTTCATTCATATTACCTGTAATTCATTTAATATTACCAAATTAAAAATAAAAATATGTTACATTAAGTTTAAATTTGTATGATATTACTTACCTACTTGCCGGTACCCATACTGTTAATTAATTTGATAGTATATTGATATTTAATTAGAGTAAAATAGATAATTTTTGGGTGCATTATAAACCTATATCACAATACGTACAAAACAATGAAAATTGCTCCCGCTTTTTATAACCTAATAATCAATTTTTTCTCCTCTTTCTAGTGATGCATATGAATGAGAGTTAAATGCAACTCTCACAAAATAAAATAATAAAATATGTGAGAGTCAAATTTAATGCTCATAGCCCATAACGACAAACACAGTGTGTATCAAATTTAACTCTCAAAGCTAATACAGACGGTTTTTAAATTTCTTACCAAATGAAATTGCAAGGTAAGGTGAGAGTTAAATATGACGCCCGAGGCAGTCAACTTGTTAAAGAATATAAAAAGGTATAATTATATAATATATAAAAAGAAAACAGGTGACAAATGTTTACAGAAATGTATTGTTTATGAGGGGATTGGGGAGGGCAAACATGTTTTCTAAATAGAAATATATGCCTTTAAAGGTATTGCAAACTATGGTTTTTTGTCTCTGTCTATCATACATAGCATGGGGATTAAGAAATTTTATATTTTCAAAGTAATTATCAAAAAATAAATGCAATAAAATTTAGTTAAAAGTTGACTTTAGATTGACTGTCCCTTTTTTTTTTTTATTTATTTATTTTTTTTTTTTTTGTTTCATAAAAATTGAACTAATAAGAAACATTAAAAAAAATCAACAAAAGCTAATTTTGGGACATTTTAATCATAAGATTTAAGAAAAGTAGGAATGTCGATGTAAAGTAGATCTTATAATAAACTTAAAAATCATATAAATTTATTGATTGGTACATTGTAAATAAAAAATGTATAAATCTATGTTTTACATGTGATAGATAGAGAATGAACATTAAGGCTTGCAATCCCCATTATAATAATTTTTTTGTTTTTGCGTAATTTTAAGGAATTCTATTTTTTTTATCTCTTTAAAAATGAAAAACTAAATTTTTTTTTTTTTAACTTTCAACTAAAACTATTTAATTTAATTAAGCCATTGAAGAGATGAAAATATAAATATTATTTTACATTTTTATAAGACACCCTGCTATAAAATTACTCTAAAACAAAAATATGCATTAATGTGATTAAATATTATTTTATAAATTGTTAACTAATTTTTCAGGTATATTAAAAGTAGCACCTCAAAATCAACAACTATTTTACAAAGATGAGATTATGGACGAAAACAAAACTTTATCAGATTGTGGTTTAAATGCCACTATTGCTAAGGCACAAAGTCCAGCTCTGGTTGGCTTAGCATTAAGGTAATAATTTTAAATATTTCAATATAAAAATGATTTATTCATCAATTATTCTGGTTATTTGATATATATATAGAATGGATGATGGAGAGTTTGAGCCATTAGAATTGATCCCATATTCATCACCACCTGAATTGCCGTATGTTATGAAAAATCAAGAAACAAATGGTCAAGAACCACCTATGTAAACAAAATTCATAAAATGTCTGGCTCCATATGGGTTTTTTTTTTTTAATGGTTTTCAAAAAAGTAAAATTAGTATCTCAGTTAATGACCATTGAACATTTTTTTTAAATTGCTAATTGGTTATAGCTTTTTTTTATATACAACCTTGTTTTATATTTTATTTATACTCAATATACTGTATTAAAATGTAAACTGTAAAAATGGTCTTGTGGGCTCTAAACAAATTAATAATAAACCATGTCATTGAAATTGTTTATCGTGATTGTACTAACAATTATGTTTATTGTTAAAATAATCTGTATATTATAAATTTATAACTTCTTGCTTTCAAAATTACTTATAATGAAATCAATTTCGATTGTATATTAATTTCAAGAAAATAAATTCAATATTTCTTATACAAAAATCATATATTTACAAAAAATCAAAATATTTTGATTATAGAAATCGTGTAAATATTTAATGTGTATACTTTTTACTTTCCTTATTATTTAATTAATATTACTACAAATAAAGAGTTTATGATCACTATAATTATTATTAACTAAGAAACTAACGATTCAAAATATAATTGGTCTGAATTTAGATTTAATTATTATGAATACTGATAACAATGAATTTATATTTTTATTTAAGTGTAGTATAATTTAGTTTTTCTTTTGTAATAATATAAATGGAAAATTAATGATTAAGTTAATTTTAAAATTTATATTTACGTGAAACTTTTTAGCATACTGTATAAAATATTGAATATATTTTAATACATGGAAATATATTGCTAGTGTATGAATCAGTTTGTGATTTAGCATAATTTCCAATGGCTATGAATTCTTATGGTAACAGTAGGATCAGCTTTAAAGTAAATTACCAAAAATGCAATATATCTTATCCTTAAGTACTTAACTAAATTAAAATCTTCATTTTTAATAGAAAGAATTGAAAACAAGTTTGAAATGCATTAATTTATATTTCAACTATACCAAAAAGTCTTTAATCATGATATTAGGCAAATCAATTAAATAAAATATAAACTGTTGCGTGCCGTTGTTCAATCGTAAAGATGGAAATGATTTATGAATATTCCAAATAAAATACTCAAACTAAGTTCAGCTGTTTATTGAAATATTTCTAAGTACAAATTATTTAATTAAATTAACAAATAAACTGGCATGGAGATGATCGCTAAAACACGTCTTAAACATATCTAAATAGTAGTCTGTTCGGACTACCTTATATTCTACGTTCTTATGGATTAATTGATCTGGATATAGTTAATATTCTATATCCCCTTCGAACACTATCAACTATCTAATTTTATAATACCTTACATAGCATGTTTTTTATGTTGTTTCATCTTTTTGCAATAACCACTTAATTTTATGTGTCTTCTCTGTAAATCTGGATATTCACAAGGACATATATATATTATATTACATGCTGTATTATATGATTCTCCCATGCAATGACCTACATTGTATATCTATAAGTCGTAAGGACCTACATATGTATATCCGTAACAGAACAAACAAATGTGTTATAATGCACTGTATAGTGTAATATTAATTAACATTGGCATCACGATGTGTGAAAAAAGAATAACTCTGCAATACTATTATTTTTCAAAATGAAAATTTTTTAGTTAACATTAATGTGAGTAAACAGATAAATCAACAGAATCTGAAACAGTATGAACCTATTCTTGAACTAGATTTCACAAATTTAAATGGCACGTTGGTACACACGAATAGTTTTTTTAATAAAATGGCCAAGAGGCTGCATTGGAATGGATATTGGTATCAACGGCTTAAGTACTATTAATTTACTTATTTACGTATTATATATTATTATAAACTATATTTGACTATAAAGTGAATGATAAGTACTGATTGAATGTTAGAATGCTTGACGAAACTAGGGAATGTGAATTTCATAATTAATAAATAATACCATAGAACTATTAACTTTAGTTTATAGGTCTATGATTAATACCATAAAATATAATCAATATTATATATGCATGGTGAATAAATATTGTTATCATAGAAGTCATAATCAACAGCATTTTCGGTTTGTTCTTCCATGGAGTTTGCCGCGGGACCGCCGCGTGCACGTTGTTTCCATGAAATACAATGGCGGCCGTGCGGCAAAACAACAACAGCATTAAAAACAATAATATAGATACTGCCGTATTATTGAATTTTACACGAGAGTCCGACGATTGTAGGGATCCGTAACAAATTTCACGGGACCGTCGTGTGTTTTTCGACTGCGGAAAAGCAGACCGCATGAAGAAAACCACGGACGAGGTGCGATAACGCGTTGCACACCAGACACATTAACGCGCGCGGGCAACGTTCGTCCGGGTGGCATTGTGATCGTGATGAACATCTCAGCCAAACAAAAGCTTCGGACTCATAGAACAGCGAGATAACGCATTGTGAGCGTACCAGCAGCGGTTCGTCGACAATTTCACCACTGCGATCGAAAGGCCAAAACCCGGTAAGTACATACCACCATTACGTAAAATAATAATAGTAATAATAATAATAATAATAATAATAATAAAAATAATAATTAACATTTATGTCGTCATCGCGTTGTATTAATATTAGTAACAATTGTAACTATATTTTTATTATACTATTTATTAGTTACTTTGTCGTCTTGCGCGCATATCGATTTTTGCGCATCTTCGTGATAATAATATTGATATAATCACATTTCCCCAGGACGTTTTGTCAATTTTTTTTCCCTGCCCACGATAATCGTCGTCTGCGCGCCACCACTGATCGCCCGCCAACAGACGCAGTCCCCCTGGACTAGTTGGAGGGAAATATATTATTTACTCGGTTCACCTACTTTGTATTAAATGTTGTTGTGTGGACGCACGGATTTATTAAGCTATACAATAATAATGAACGTCTGTTAATTTTTTTCTGCGTTGAAAATAATGAAAAAAGATTTGTTAGAGAACATTTTTTGATACTGTCAGGGATAGTCTGATAATTATTTAATGCTCAATACTCCCACAGTACGTTATTAGTAGTGATTGTAACAATAATATATGATGGCAATTATTTTAAAATACTCTACTATTCAATGATATTTGTTTTTATTTTATATTTTTTAAAAAAAAATTTCTTGGAAATGAATACAAAATAAACCTGGATTTTTACAATACTGTTTTTTTTTTCAAATATTTTTTTGTAAAATAAAGTACGGATAAGAATTTACAAATATCTAAGTTCAATATTTTTATATAGAAGTTTATATATTTAATTTGGTATAATAATTATAAATTTTAGATTAATATCTAATGTTAGTTGTTGATGGTTTTTATCTCCCACTATCAATTTACCTGATCTATGATTTGCTACCTTTTGCTAACTAAAGATATTTATCTATTCAAAATTTTAAAATAATAAATGATAAAGTTGTTATGAAGTATTTTACTAATTCTATATATTTATAGATATATATATATTATCAGTTCTTAAAATATATTTATTGGTATTTATAACTATTAACTATTTTCTTATAATGTATTTACATAATATGTATAGTATAAATTATATATTATTTTATTATAATTTTTAATTTCAGATAATTCAATAAATATGTCGTGTTCTAAAATTACTGAGAAAGTAGATGAGAAACCTGAAGATGAAGAGGCCGATGATACTTTAGTAGTTGTTGTCAAACCTGATGGTACAGTGGCTATAGACCAAGACACATTCAATAGAGTTATAGGCAAGTATCTTTTAAACTTTTATAGGATACTTAATTAAAACTTTTATATTTAAAGTTATTAATATTAATATTTATATTACAAAAATATTGTTAAGTCGTAAACCATTTTACATTTTTATTATAATTTAATTAAGTACATAGATATATTATATATATTATATCTATGTACTTATTGATAGTTTCAAAAATTATTTAAATCTTAATATTTTATTATTGCTTCATATTTAATATATTAATACATTTTAATCTACAATAATATTGTTGTATAATATTTTAACAGAAAATAAAAAAGAGACCATGAATATCATACATTTTGAAAACAGTAGTAATAAAGGTATAACAACAAATCCAGAAAATGGAGAACAAGAAATAAATTTGACTGTTCAAGGTTTCTATCCTTCCATATCAACTAAAACATTATTATCCCAAGGTAAGATATTATTATGATTTAAGGTAGACATCACATTTTCATTATTTATTTAAAATAATTTGAGATAGCATTCATAGAAAAATAATTTTTATATTAATCGATGTACTCTTAATCAAAATATATTAGTTTCAAGAAATTATTTAAATTGTTAGTTCTCTTAATATGTAATTTCATAATTTTCCATTTAAATTTTCATCATTTATAATATTTTTACTTTAAATTAATTATTCATGTGGTAAAGAATTAGACCTGGGTTTGTTAAAATTGATTATTGAACAATGACATATCTTATGGTATTTTAAAAATGTATCAAAAATGTAATTAAGGTGAATCAAATATTTTAGATATGATAATAAGTTATATTTAATTAACATTAATTAATGCGTAATTTAAGAATTATAAATTATGTATTAACTTATATTATGTTATATTTTTTAGATATTCTACCCAATGAAAGTGATATGTCAAAAAATTCTATTTATTTGGACCATTGTTATTATAAATACTGCCCACCTAATACATCAAATGATAACCAAATTAATGAGAGTTTTAGGGAAACACTTTCTTCTAAAATACAACAATTAACAAGTAAATGATAATATAATTATATACATTAATGAATAAAGACGAATATTAAATAATATTTAAATTTGTATATTAAAATATTAAGGTAAATTAACTCAATCACAAATAGTAAATGAAAATGAAGAAATTGAAGAAATAACGGTGTCAATGGCTGAAAAGGAATTTAAAGATGGTTCTTCGACTACACCTATAGAAGGTATATAATGTAAAACTTAATAATTTAAAGAGTTTTTCAAAATACATTTCATTTATTTCATTTATACTTATAAAATAATTCAATAATTTTATTATTTTTTTTAGATATTAAGGCTGGTACACCGACAACTACACAACATAATTTCCTTAAAAATAATTTACTCAATACTAGAAAAATACAGAATTTAAGAGTTGTAAAAGTAATAAAATATTTTCAACTATGTAAAAAAAAAAAAAAACTAATAGAGAATATTTTATATTTATTTAGAATGAAAAATCAAAAGCCAAAGATCCAGTAATTTTGAGAAGTTTGATACCAAAAAAAAATTCTGATGAAGTACGAAATAATCAGTCAATTGAAGGACCAAGAGGTTCTAAAACAGTGAAGCGTTTATTGCCATTGGTAAAATTACCTATAATTATGATTTTTGTTTACAAGCTATTATATCTGCCAGAATTTTATAATATTTATAATTATCTATATTCTTTTTTGAGAATAATATAAATTATTAACTGGAAAAATAAATATAAATGACTATGCTCATTATTTTATTATTTAATAATTTTAAATTTTTAAATTTTCAAAATTAATAATTGATAAATAAATGTCTATTGATAATATTTTAAATATTTTCATACAAGTCCTAATTATCTGTATATAACATACTATTTTATTAATAAGATATTAAGATGTATGTTATAAGTATGATAATTAATCTGTTTTATAATTATTATAATACAACTTAATTTCTTTAGACATTTTTATTGAATTGAATCTGTTTAATATAAAAAATAAATATATTTCAATAAAATATATTTATCAATTATCATTTATTAATGTCTAGATTGATTTATAAAGAAATTAGTGTTCTGAATTAAATGTTAATTCCTATGATGTAATACAAATTTTTTCATGTGTGTAAGACCACAAATTCTACATTCTTAAAAGTTAAAATAAATTTAATTAAAATTTAACACATTTTATTGTTTTAGAAATCTCAAGTTAAGAACAATCGACAAAAAAAACCAGATGTTGTCATTGACCAGGTTTTACTTCAAGCTAATGAATTAGTTCGTCAATCTAGTATTGAACCTAAAAAGTACATTCAAAATCAGCTGATGTTCAAAAAGAATAAAGATAAAATTGGAAATATTGAAAATGGTTTTGAAACAACTTCACAAAAACTTGTTAAACAAAAATTAGATGAACCGGAATTATTTTCTTCTCCTGATATTATTATAGATGATAATAATAAATCACCCATTAAAATAGAAAACATAGAAGTAGATCATAAAATATCTACTGTTGAAAAAGTTGAAAACTCAACAAATAAAGAAAGCCCAATTTCTGATGTTGCTAAAGAATTAGATGAAGTGGTTGTTCATAAGGAAGAATCTGGAAGAGTGAGAAAAGTCTCAAATAGAACAAGGGATAATCCAGCAGAAAATACTGTAACTAAAACAGTAGAAGATATATTAAACGAAATTAGTTCAAAAATAGCAAATCAATCAGAAATAATTGATGAGGAAAATTTGATAGATGAACTAGCTGATCTCAATGAGGACCTTAATTCTGTATGTATTAAACATTTTTACAATTTAAATGTTTTTTAATTGAAACTAAAGATTTTATATTATTTTTTCAGTCAAATTTTGTAGCTCCATCGAATTCCAGTCATGATTTAATGAACAAATTATTGTTTGATGATAATCTTAATCAAAGTGATAAGAATGATGTCAAAACACCACCATCTGATGATAAATGTAAAAGCTCAACTGTGATGTATGGAAAATCTGGTAGAATATTAACATTACCTCCAATTGAAACTCCAAAAACACGATCTTTAGTTAAAAAAGAAGTATGAATTATCAAAACAATATTACTCAAAATATCATTAATTGCTAATTTTAATTATATCTTTCAGATTGCAGATGCTAGTATTAAAGATCAAGTTAGACGAAGACGATCATCAGAAAAGTAAGTTCTTATTTGTAGAACATTATGTTGTTTTACAGTTTATATAATTTCAGTTATCATTTTTGTTGTTATTGAAAATAATAATTAGCAAATCTAATTTTCCTTTATTATCTTTTATTTGTATCTCAGTATTATTAGTCTTTCCATAAATTTCCTCTTATTTTGAGTCAAATTTAAAAAAAAATTTTCATGAATACTTTTTCTATTTTTCCAAGAATATCACTTAAAATTTTTCACTGACCACACAAACTCAATATTTTTAATTCTTATTGATTTTAGTTCTAAAAGTATGAATGAATATAGTGAAGAATCTGATACTGATAGAGAAGGAACCATGACTTCAGAAGACGATCCAAATAGACTTTGGTGTGTTTGTAGAAAACCTCATAACAACAGGTAATATTTAAAAAAAAAATAACTATTTAGAATTTAAATATACATACATACAATTAAAAAAATATTTCAGATTTATGATTTGTTGTGATACTTGTGAAGATTGGTTCCATGGAAAATGTGTAGGTATTACAAAGGCTTTGGGTGAACAAATGGAAGCTCGTTGCGTTGAATGGAATTGTCCACCATGTAGAAAAAAGAAGACTGAAGAAGCACGTAAAAAATCTGATGAGGAGAAAACCAATAAAAAATTAGATGAGGATAAAAAAAAAAAATCTGGTTCAATATCGCCAGTCATCAAGAAAACTGATTCAAAATCTACTAAAATTCAATCTTTATTACAGCAAAATTGTGTCCACTGTAAAAAGGGTTTTGAAGTTACAGCAAAGGGTTTATTTTGTGACGAAATATGTTTGGAAAAACATATTGAAGATAGTGTATCTGCAATAAAAGCTTGTTGTACTTCACCTACTGAATCACCTGATATTATTTTATTAGACAAAAAAAATAGCAGACTAATCACTGGTATGTAATGATTAGGGTAGCTCAGATTTGTATTATTTTAATTTATACTTAACTTAATTTTGTATAAAATCTTATGCTTGATTTTTTTAATATTGTTATTTATTACTACTCATGCATGGTATATAATATTGAAAAAAATAGCAAAAGAAGAATACCAAAAAGTAAATTTTAATTATGACTGACGTGTATAAGTAACATGTATATTAGGGTGGTCATAGATAATTAAAACTCTTAAAATAGTATATATACATGAAGTACGTAAAATATTGAATCAATCAGATAAAGTTAACCCAAGCCTATTTTAACTTAAAGTTTGAACTTTTAAAAAATTTAAAAAAAATTTAAATGTTTGTATTTATTTCATGAAAAATTAATTAAACTAATTAAAATTAAAATTAATTAAATTAAAAAACTAATTAAACATTATACTATTGTAGTGTTGATTTTTTTGGTTGTCGGAATACTTGTTTTTATAATCTTTAACAATTTGTAATAGATATTATTTCTTTTCCTCTAATTTAACCAAAGAGGTTAGAATGTTATATTTTTTAATGAGATTCACTTTTTTTTCTACTGTATCATTAATAACATTTATAGGGGCTACAATAATAATCAGTGTTATTTATCCATTCCTCCTGTTCATCAAGTATAAAATTTGTACCAATACTAAATAGTTCAAAACTATTTTTGTACTTTTTGTTAGGAAATTATTTAAATATTTTGTAACTAAAGATGGTATTTCATGTGGTTTAATTGATATTTTTTTACTTATTTCAACTGAACCATCATTTAAATTTAAAGCTTTAAACTTTTTTTTTTTTTAATTTATAGATACATTATTATCAAGAAATAAAATCTCTAATACTTCATCCAACAACTACTACAGATTTCTAAAAAAAAATTTCCAAAACTATTTTAGAGATGTTAGCATCATAATTAAATACAGCTTTTATAAAATTTAATTAATATATAAATAAATAAACAAATAATTTATATATAGAAATGAATAAAATAAAAAATTCTGTTTGGAATATTATTATATTTGTATAATACAACCAATTTTTAATTAAAAAATGTATTTTCTAAAATATTTAAAATATTAATCTTTAATCTACCAGCTTTTCATTATTATTTTTTGAATAATTTAGTATTTACGTCCATTACATGGTCTTTTCAGCCTTTTTTCTCTTTGAAAAAGTAAAAATTACTATTTTTTTGGATACTTTTTATAATAAATGTTTTTTTTTAATATATCATTAAAATAATAACATTAGTGTAAGTAATAATTATTACCGATCATATTCAATGTATTCACTTAAGTAATGTCCAATTGTTTGATTTTAATATTTACTCATCTTTTTTAATTTAGGATTAGGTCCTTTTTGTTGAATTTTTTTGCATTATTCACCATTCATTATACAATTTTTCAAGTTAAGATGTACATTATTGAATATCTTGAACTTGAATCCTTGTTTTTTTCTCAAAATACAGCTATTTTTTGTACAGAGTAATCACTTTCATGTATGTTTAATTTAACAACTTCTAAGTTACAGAAAACACTAATAAAGTTTGCTTAATTGTCGGCAATTTGACATCAGTAATTTGACTGCATTCGTTACCCAATAAAAAATAGAAAATATTTTCAGAAAAAAAACAATTTAAGTATATGAACTCTATTTCACGTGAGTGATAACTGACCGCTGTTCATAAATTAAATTTTAGGTAGATAATTTATGTAGTTTGAATTATATTAAATCAATAATAATATAAGAGATGATATAGGTAAATAATACCTTTTTAAGATGCAATAGTTTCTAAAACTAAAAATTACTTTTGGTGACATTGACAAAATATAAGATAAAGTTTTACACATTAGTGAAAAATACTAGAATATATATATAATACATACCTTATAATAACAAAAATTTTGTCAAGTTGGATTTTTATACACTCAAGTCAATATATCTAACAAACAAATACAAAAGTTATTTTAAATTATACAATTTATCATGTACGATAATTTTCATTTTAATCAATGGTTTAGGAAATAAGTGTAACATTTTAAAAAATTTGAAAAATAATAGAAATTCAAATAGGCACGGGTTAATTTTGATTGATCCAATATTTTGTGTAACTAATAATATAAACTTTTTTAAGAAAATGATATATAATTTTTAATATGTCTATTATTTTCTATAATCTGAACCAATCATAATCAAAAAGAAAATGAGTGTTAACATTTTTCTGAATATATATTTTATATGGTTATAAGGTTTATTATCAATAATAGTAATTAATGAAAGTATACTTAAACTTTTTATTTTTCAATTTCCATTTATACACAAATCTGGACTTTAATAATAATCAATGTTAAATAAATATAATGATCTAGAGTAGAGTGTGCGGTTTTAATTTTAAATATAAAGTACCATACAATTAAATTCCAATATGAAGAATATCCTTATCCCCTTTTTTTTATATTATTTAAATACCGTCAGACTCTACCTAGAGTATTATAATATAAAAATATATTGAACATTATAAGTATTTAAATTATTTTACAGGTGAACAAGCTCCAAAATTAACAAATTTAAAACAATGGATGAAAGAAAATCCAACATTCCAAATTTTAAAACCTTCAGGCCCTTCTACTAAAATAAATCCCAGTAAACTAACTCCAAAATCTCAAAATAATTCTAAGTTGACCCAAAGTACTTTAAAATTTGTTAAGAAAGAAAATGAAAATCGTCTCAAGAGACCAGCTACTAGTCCAGATAAACATAAAGCAAAAGAAATTAAGAAAGAATTTGATGTATCAGAGTTATTACAGCCTGATAAAATGAAATTAGTTTATGTTAAAAAGGATTCATCAAAGTCTCCAATGCCTCAAAAAGAACTTATGAAACATACGCTTTCCCAAAAAGAGTCATCAAAATCTGTACAAGTTACACCGGTAAAACCAACTATTACAACTCCTTCTAAAGGAACTGCTGTACAAAAAGTTATAAAGAAGAAACTAGAACCTGTTAAAAAACCAGAACCTATAAAAGAAATTGTCAGTGAAAAAAAAGGAGAAGAACAATTGCGCTCTAATGTAAGAAAATCTTTATTAGAATCTTTAAGTAGTAGAATATCCGAAGAACCCGAATTAAAAACAGCTGAAGAAAACTTGGAAGAATTAATCTTAAAAATTGAAGAAGAACTTTATTCTCAATTTGGGAAAGTTGACCAAAAATATAAAGCAAAATACAGAAGTTTGGTATTCAATATAAAAGATCCAAAAAATTTAAATTTCTTTAAGAAAATTATGTTCAAGTGGGTTACACCATATCAATTAGTTCGTATGACAGCTGATGAAATGGCATCCCAGGAGCTAGCTGAATGGAGAGAACGAGAAAATAAACATCAAATTGAGATGATCCGTAAAACTGAATTAGACATGATGAATCAATCAAAAGCTCTCCTAATGAAAACTCATAAAGGAGAAGAAATTATTGAATCTAAAGATAACAAAGAAACTATAGTTTCAGAACTTAATCCTGACATTAAGGTTGAGCAGAAAAAACCCCAAATCCTTCTTAAATTAACAAGAGAAGATAAAAAAGAAAAGAAAAAAAGTAAGTATAAAGAAAGAAGTAATAGTAATGATCGTGAACACAGACATCATAAATCTAGTAGAAACCGTCATAAATCACACAAGGATAAAAAACGTAGAAGTCGTGATCGAAGTAAAAGCAGAGACAAAAAAGATAAAAAAGTGGATAAAAACAAAAAAATTGAAGTGAAACCCGACCCAGTTGTTACTGATGATGTTGAAGTACATAAAGAAGATGTTAGTGATAGAGAACCAAGTTCAACTGTTGTAATAGCTACTCCGCCTCGAGTGGAAGAAGAAATTGGTCCTATATGGAAAGGAACTATCAATTTTACTGATGTTGCTCGATGTGATGTAGCTATGTCTCGATTATCTGGTAATGTGATTGGATTGGATGTAGAACTTACCTTAACAGTTCTAGAATGTGTTGGTCGTATCAAACAACAAACAGTTTGGGAATATATGGGTAAATTGAAAAAAACTGGTACAAAAGATATAATTGTAACAAAATTGTTGGCAGGAGGGGTGGAACAACAAATGTCCTATTTAAGTCTATATCAGTACTTAAGTGCTAAGAACCGCATTGCGGTTATTGATAGCAAACCATTTCCAAATATAAAAGATTTTTATATATATCCACTTGGCAGCCATAGCCCTATACCTCAGGTATTGTTGCCGTTAGATGGACCTGGAGTAGATGACTATAGAACACATTTGTTGTTGGGAATAATTGTACGAAATTCTAAGAAACAGTGGATTCCACCTTGGAAACAATCTGAAAATAATTATGTTTTGCCTGATATTAACGATACTTTGGTTTTACCTCATCTCAAGCCAGCTTTACCATCTAGTCAAGATAATTTTTCTCCAAAAGAAAGTTATACTCCACCAAGATCACCGACTAACAAAATTCTCAGTTTACCAACCCCAGTTCTACCATTATCTTCTGGTAAAATATTTTAGACTTTTATTTTATTTTTAACTATAAATTTATTGATGTTTTTTAGTTTTAACTGATGATGACTTACCGTATATACCTGGTGAAGAAGAACCATACTCGCCAGTTGATGAAGATGTACCTTGTTTATCTGATGAAATGACTACAAGTATTCAACAACAAATGGATGAGTTGACCCTAAAAATTGAAAGAGAAAAATTAGAAATACAAATGATGACTGCTGGATCTCAAAGTGCAATACTTGATGTAAATGTTAATATTAACTATAAATGTATTATTGTTTAATTTTCATATTTGTTTATAATTAATTTTTGTAGAACCTAGATCCTGATGAAGAAGTGTATAGTCCTACTAGTGAGCTGGCCCCGTTAACAACTGAAATTAATTTACCTAGTAATATTAAAGATATACTTTCATCCATAAATACAAAAGAACTGCGTTCAACTGAAATAGAAACATCTAAAATTGCAATGGACACTGAAAAAAAATGCAGAGATCCTCGCCAACGAATTCAAACTGTTTCTTCAGCTGAACCTCCTCCACCTGGTCTTGAAGATGAATTTCCACCATCTTGTAATCCTAATACAAGTTTACCTCCACCTAATTTTTCATCTCCATATATGCCACCAATCAATTATATTGCACCCATTCCTTACCCTTATCCTCCACCTGGGTATGTATCAGAGTCTTACTCCAATCAGTATGGACCTCAACAACCTCCTCCACCACCCCCACCAATGGTCATAGACCAAAGTAAGTATAATAATTACAATCAGTCTGGTTATGCCTATAATTCAGTGTACCAACCACCTCCTCCACCACCTTATACAAAGAAAAAAGGATCAGGATTTTGGGCCAGTGGTAATTCTAAAAATGAACCAAAAAAGAAAAAGTTTAAAAAATCTGGTGATCGAAGGGATAAAGGTTCTTGGAGACGCATGTAATTATTTCCTAAATTATATTTAATATTTTTGGGTCTTGTTTTTATAACATATTTATTTTACATGTAAACCCTATCCTATCTTGATATTGTCTAAGAATTTTTTTTTTAATGTATTTTACACAATTTCTTATATCTAATATGTATATATGTTATTCATATACTATTGTTATAAATTTTATTGTATCTATATATAATAAAATATATTAAGAATTGTTAATTAAATGTACAAAATATGTAAATTTGTTCTGCGAGTAAATTACATTTAGCACTTAATATTATACTTACAGAGTTTACAAACTTTATATTATAACTACACTGGCATTTTACTATGTTTGTGAAACACAAAAATGATTATCAGTGTTAATATTAATGTTATGACTTATAAAGTTTGATAATTTGGCTTTAAAACTGCTTACGATTAAATAGTAATTCTAGAGACCTAATATTAAAACTGTGTGAATCAAATCATAATTTAACACTTTCCTATCAAACCCATGTGTATGATCATTATAGATCAGTGTTAATTTTTTTTATCACATTAATTAAGATGTACAGTATGTTTAAGAATTACTGTTGAAAAGTCCATAATTCAGTTGTGAAATAAGTAAATACTTTTTTAATCAATTTTTTATTCTTGTTATATTATGAGCCTTTTGAATGAAATTTATTTAAAATACTTAAATCTATTTAACTATGGGCACATTATCGACATTATCCGGCGTATTGTACAAATACATATTTATTATGTGTGGACATAAAGTTATGTATATTATTTTATAGTTAGATAAATATATTTGATAATAGCATAATGATAACGTTTGATGTACCTATCACATCATATTAGTTTAGTTATTGAAATAAAAATTATTAATTTAATGTTTGTTACTAGATTTTATTTTATAACAAATAACTAAAATTCAAACATTACATTACATAAGTTGAGCGAAATATTGTTACAGCAAGCAATTTGTTTGGATTTATTATTGTATACCTATGGCATTTGTAATTTATCAACTGCGACATCCAAATACAAAATAATATAGGTACCATCAAATACAGGGATTCCCATCCGTTGTGCAGTAAAATTATTAAGGTGTGTCGTATAATTTTTGTCTCATAATGTGTACTAAATATAATAATCAAAATTATAATTTATATTTATGATAGCATTGACTTCGAAATCCCCTTGAAATGAAAAATGATAAAATGTCCATATAAAACAGCTATAATCAAGGACGTATTTAAGTTGAGGCCATGGGGGGCGAAACTAAATTTTCTTCAATACAAATTTAAAAATAATTTACAGTTCATTTCAGGGGCGTACCCAAGGGGGGATTTTCGGATCCATACCCCCCATTGAAATTTCTACATAATCGATGATTTAATAGTGTATTTTAATTTCCCATTATCTTCAATAAAAAAAGTTTATAGATCAAATAATATACCTATAATGTATAAATCATGTTTAATTTATACTGCTTTTTTAATATTATTTATTATTGTTAGTTAAATAATGTATTTTTTTATAATATTTTACTACCAAATAAAAATGGATTTAAAATTATAGTACCTACCTATAATAGTAAACCTTTGTGCAGAATATTTGTGATGTGTGTAAAACTATTGTGACTATTACTATAGTTATTAACATTAATTTGTTGGTATCGAATTAAACTATAATTATAATTAGAGAACAGATAAAATAAAAATTTTGGACCCCCTCTAAAAAATTTCTGGGTACGCCACTGGTTCATTACCTACAACTCATATTTCTGTTGTTCATTCGAGTGAATAAATAAAAATACAAGTACCAAATTGAATTAAATATTTATTTAGTAAATATATTTAAAACCCACTGCATATAAAATAAGTATTAATAATATCAATACAAATAGTTCTTATATTAAAATTGTACCTTCAGTCTGAATCCTGGATGAAAAAACAAATAATCATAGTAGTAATAGTACCTATTAATTATTTTTTAAAATCTAAAAAACACTTTAAATAGGTAAATTAATTTAACAAATATCTAAGTAGAAAATATAAGGTTGGTAAGTAGTCAAATAACCAATTCCAAATTTCTTTTTTTCATTTTGGCAAATTTGTTAATTGTTTCATCAATGGATACAATCATAATTTTATGCACACGCAGCAAAGCCAAACCTGTTAGCCTATGCTGACCTATTCTTGATCTTAACCATGTTTTCAATTTACAAAAATATATTTTTGGCCAATATTTGCAAATTAAAGAATATGCATAAGCGTGTCAGAAAATTTTGTGCAGGCCAATAACATTTTTCATTAGGAAAATTGAAATTTTCATTTAGGATATATTTTTCATTTGAGACAAAGAGTGACTTATACACAATACACTACCTCGGGAACGTACGTAGTAACTGTAGCTATTACAGTAATTATAACTAGTAAATAATATACTCAATCTCTTCAAAAAAATAAAAGGTATATAATATAAAATACAACTAGAACTACACGGGTACTTATAGCTATGGATATTAGATAATAAATATTATTGGTTAATTTTTGTCACAGACATATTATACATATAAAATATTTGTATAAATCTAGTTTAGCGTCCACTCAAATTTGTTTTTTTATGCTAAGAACGATTGTGCGATCAAAATTGAGCGGACGAACTTAGTTTTTGAGTTATATCATTTTTTGGTTCATTTATGCATATTGTATATTTTTGTATTTATTAGAGCTATATAAGTCTTGAATAATTTTACTCATCAATTTTTTTTTTTTTATAACATAATATCTGGTACTTTTTGTTGTGCATAGGTATTTAGTTATTTTTTTGTGCACAAATGTATGCATATTTATGTATTTTATAGAGCTAGAAGCCTCTAAAACCCAAATAATAATCATAATTACTGACAATATTTGTTCCCATATTCTCCTAGGTTTGTTTATGGCTATGGTCACTCTGGCAATGGCCAAACCTGCAAAATCCAGCTCCGTTTTAAATTTATGCTTAAATCATTAAAAATAATTACTAAAAAGTAAAAAGAATGATTAAATAAAACAGAACTAATTAATAAATATTTTCACATAAAATATTATGGAACAAATCTAATTTAGCACCCACCAAATTTTTCATTTTTTTTTTATCCTAGGTAAATTAACGTTTTAAAAATGATGGTGCAAAAATAATTTCGCAGAAATTATTAGTTTTTGGGTTATGCAATTTTGAAAATTGCGAATTTTCAATACCATTAAGATATAGTTAAATAAATAATATTTCCATATTTTATATTGTTAATCTAATAGTCCAATGGATAATAACTGATCGTTCAGTGCAAGATTAATATTTTTTGCATTTTTTTTCCGAAAAATTGGAACTTCGATTTTTAAAATTTTAGGACTTCGCTCGCTACGCCTGCCAGCTAAAAAAAAACACAAAGTCGAGTGTCACTCCGTGGCACTTTTCAGTGGGATGGGGCTACGCCCCAATGAGAATTACAGTAGAAGCCTAACCTAGTTTTTGTACAAACCTTGATACTATTACGGATGGGATTATGTTTTGTATGTAAACTTAAAACATCGCTGCGCGAGTAAAACACATATTTCAACCACAAATATAATATATAAAATTTTAAAAAAAGCCAATAAATAAAAAAATACTTTTTTCATTTATATTTAAGTTTTATTTTATAAAAATCCATATTCATTTTCAGACTCAGCCTCTAATTCTCAGTGCTTGGAAAGTTCCTTTAAAAAAGGAACTAGTTCACGTTCACGTTCTTCTTGTTAAAAAGAACAAAATCCTTTACCATTTCTGTCTTAAAGAAAGGAACTCGTTAATAAACAAGGAAACATTTTTCGTTCCTCAAAAGTTTTAAAATTTTATCAATATAATTAATTTCATTACATGTTGTTTTCTTTTCTTTTTTTCATATCCTGTAATTTTATAATACTTGCTTCGATTTTAATTGTTTTATAATATCTAATAGGCCGACTAAACATTTGAGAAGAAAAATATTTTTCAACTCCTGGCCATGGAATACGAATACATGAAGTCGAAATTAAACTAGTGCTTTCGTCTGATATAATTATAACTATAAAATCGAATATATATGGTTAATATTAATATTATATAAAAATAAAGAGTTGCCTACATACTTTCCAACAATCACTATTAATCAATGTACCAGGCAAAATCCACTCTTTAGTTAATACCAGCAACGTTTCTTTATCTCGTCGTTCTACGGGTACCAAAAAAACATTTGCCTGGTGTCCGCTCTACTTCACCAAGAAACCATTGTCCCTCTACACGATGACCCTTATAATACTTTCGTCAACTAAACTTCGACTCGTCGATCAATTTTTTCTAATACCGCCTTCGTAATAAATGTATTAAATAATTAATAGAACATTATTTTTGTTTTTTACAAATTGAAAAAAAATTACCAATTTTTTCATGATGTAATATTAATCCATCAAAGGCAACTTCCCTATGGAAAGATGCCCAATCAACAAGGGATTGTTGAGCAATACAAATTTGTTTTTTAATAAAAGAAAGTGACACATCCATCCACATCCATCCAAAGATATGTTAATATTATTATACAATAAATTGAAAGATGTGATTTATCAAAGAACGCATCTTTCCTTAAAGATTGTTTGAAATCACACTTCACTTTTTTTTGAATACCACTCTGTGCACTGCCAAACAAATCCATCAATGACATCTGCATGGGAGCATAACTTAAGAAAATGATCATTTTTGCATTTTAAGCTGTTGTTTTTTGCAATAATGCCCCATAATTTGTTTATAATATTGTAGTTGTTCAATGACGGGCAAAGATAACGGACAGTCTTCATCACATTTAAATAATTTAAATAATTTTACCACATTATTTATTAAACTAATAAAAAAACTTACAAAAATATAAACACGTTATATACTTACTGCGTTAGAAACATTAATGAACCAAAAACAAATAAGTATTATATTTTATCTACAGTGGGAAAAATAATATCTCTTTATTTTAAATCATTAAAAATGTATTATCCACATACTGACAATCGTACCACTGTTAAAATGGTTAACGAACATCAAAATAACAGAAAGTTACAACTACGAGTACGATATTGAGATAACGAAAAGTGTATTTAAGTAGATTAAACAGCTTTAAACAAAAATATATCTCGATTTGCCACGAAATATTTCTATATTACTATATTATTATATTATAATATAGGGAACTTTTCTACTTTACCAGACACCCCTATTTTTTACAATTTTTTTCGGAATCCTAGTTAAATCAACACCCCAAGTAGATCATAGGATAAAAAAAAGGATTTTGAGTGCACCTCGAGACCGGGCGGGGTCACTCGCTCGGACAGTTAAAAAAGAAAATATCCCATATTTGCTATGCAACACCACCTCAAGTAGGTCATAGGATAAAAAAAATAAATTTGAGTGCACCTCGAAACTGGGATAGGTTACTGGGTAAACATTTACCTTTTAGGTTAATATTCACTCTAATTAAAACATATAAATAAATCATTAGAAAAAAAAAATACTAACAATTTTTTAACCGGGGGTAGGTTTCAACTCGGATTCGTAGAGCTGTAACAGGTTCACAGTACCACTAGATTACAATATAATAAAATGTTGTGTTATATTACAATATTTAACATAACTATCAAATATTGACAAAATTGAAAGAGACATTACTCAAAAACTAAGTTCATCCGCCCAATTGTGATTACACAATCGTTCTTAGCATAAAAAAACACTTCTGTTCAGAAAAAAAATATGAAAAATTTGAGTTGGCGCTAAACTAGATTTATACCCAAAAAATGACTAACTAGTTAATATGTGGTAAAAAAAGTGTTACATTAAATTATTTTATATTATCTGATAAATACCTCAGTTATGGTTGTAAATGTCTATAATCATAGCAATATCTTTGGAAAATAATACCACTATTTGTTCCATTTGTTTATATATAGTGATGTACACAGAATTTTATAATGGGGAGGGGCTTGAAAATAAATAATTACTCAATTGTAATAGGTGCATTGGTTTAAAAAATAAAATAGTTGCTTTTTTTTTGCCTTTGTTTGCATGTTACAGCAAAATTTCTTATTTAAATTAAGCATTAAATAAACAAAAAATATATGAAAAAAAAAATTAACAAAAATAATGGACAGTAAAATACATTTTTATTTAGTTCAGTCTAATAATTGTAGTCGCTTAGGTGGTGTTTTTGAAAATTGTTGTAGAACTTCCAATTCGGTCAAATTTTCTTTTTTAATTGATATTTGTTAAAGCTAATCCATTAAGACGTTCCTCCGTCATGGTTGATCTTTGGAATGTTGGCTAGATTAATGAAATTTGGATTGTTGCTAACATCAGTTCAGTTGTAATCATAGATTATAAATACCCATCTATGGATTGATCAATTAGAGCAAGAAAAATACCATTGTAAAATTGTAATAAATAAATGTAATATCATCTAACACAATTGTGAAATAAAAACATTTGAAGAAAATTACATGTTTTTATAATGTATTGATTGTATAATGTATTTTAAAGTAGTACAAATAGTTATTAAAGTTTATTAGTAATTATTACCTTGTATACTATGATTTTATACATGCTTTATGTATCGCGAATAATTTTTTGTACAAAAATTCAACTTTCCCAATGGGGTAGGAGGAGGGTGCAAATACAGTAATTCGCCAGGGGCGCCAACAGACCTCAATACAACCCTGTTAATATTTATATCGAACATCCTATCTCTATCAACCTACAGCAGTTCAGGCCTAATGCATAGGGGAACTACATATATTTGCTTAAGTTGAAATATTAGGAGTAAGATCTTTACTATTTTGTTAAATTGACATAAAATTATCAGTTTAGGAATAATAACGATAATTGAATCATAAACAATGTCTGCATATTAAAACTTCAAACATTAAAATGATAAACACAATATACAACATGTTGGGTTTTGAAAAAAAAATTTAATTGAAAAACTACATGGAATAAATAAACTTGAACTGTACAGTTAACAGTTGACTATGTGCAATAAGAAATTTTCTCAAGTGAATAAATATTTATAAACACTAATTCACCAGTACTGACTATATGTTTTATACTATAAGAAAATAAAATTTAACATATAAAAAATATTCGTTAAAATTCCTACTTAAAAAATTAGTTTGGGTAATAGTGAATATGAAAATGTTAAATTTTTAGTTTTTAATATAATTAATGGTAACTTTTAAAACAAAAAAATAATTAAAATTATTTAAAGTCAACAAATAATTAATTACATTTTACAATTTTAAAAACATGTTTTTAACTAAAATAAGTGTATATGTAACTGAAAAAACTGAAATATTAGGCACAAAAATATTTATATTTAACTAAAACAGATTATAAAGTTCTACATTTTTTTAGATTCTATCAATTTTAGTTTTGAGCTTTGAGTTACAATTTAAAATAAAAAATTTAGATAATACATTTATTATATATTTATTTTATAATAAATTATATATATACTGATTATACCACCATTATTAAATTACAATTATAATTAGATTGATAGTTTTTACTATAAAAATTTCAACGTTATTGAAATTTTACCAAGATTATGTTATTTTACTAACATTTATTACTTATTATAAAAAAATAAAAATAAATGTTTTTTTTTAATAAAATGACTTAGAAACAGATTTATAATGTTTACAATATACCTAGATAACAAATAATTATTTACTATGACTTCAATGAAAATACCTATATTACACTTGTAAAATAAATTTAAATTAATATTAGTAAAGTATTAAAATTTTTATTAAATATATTTTAATTTAAGAAAAAAATACTTATAAGAAAAATATATTTTTTACACAATAAATTTATTTAAAGTTGATGAAAAATAAAAAATAATAGGCAGATTATTTATTTTATTAAATTGACATAAACAACATTTTCAATTTATTTGTACAGTAGTAATTAAACTTTTATTAAATTAAGAAAAATAAATTAAAACTGTATTACTTACATTATTTAGAAAAACTTAAAACTACAAGGCAATGTATAAATGAGTATTTTAAAAATACTCATGGAAATATAGCCATATAATTAATTTTATTAATTAAATCATAAATACAATTTTAACATTTAGTCTTGTTGTACAAAAGGGTTAGCAATTGCTTCCATACCATCAACAGGACAAATTAATACAATTGATGTCCCTCGACAAACAACTAAGCCCAACGTTCGCGTATCTTCAGTCAATTTCATAGGTTCATCTGGATCTCTCAAATACTCTAAAGTATTATCCAATACCAGATTTACTAATGGGTCAAATCCTTTCAGAATTCCAGATACTTCTCGGCCTCCTGAAAATTTTACCCTAATGGCTTTTTCCAAGTACCTAAAAATATAAAAATCATATTTACATTTTACATCTATATATAATATTAATGGCTAATGTCAACTAGTTTGATTCAACATTTACTTACCTTGTTAAATCTAAAATACTCTCTTTTTTCTTTTTCTCTGGGGCTGCAGTTGCTTCTTTTGTACTCATTATAAATGATTTATAAAAATTGAGTAAAAAACGATTCCAAACGACTTTATTCTTGTGTTTAATTTAAATATATTAAAATAAATAGTAAATACAATTTGACTACTATCAACCATATTTAAAAACATAACCTACAATTAAATTACTATAACCAACATAACTATTTATTGATACCACGATACATGTGTGATTTCAATTTGTATATAACCTAAAATATATTACTTTAAAACAGGTATGTACACAATATATAACTGTGTTAGTACATAAGCTTTAATTTTGAATATTATTGTAAAGTTAAAATAAATGTTTGATTATTACTACTGAAGTTTTTTAACAAATAATGGCTGACGAAAAAAGTAAATGTTTAAACAATTAAGTTGTTTTTGAATTATTATTAATTATTTGTTTTTCATAGTTCTTCCGGATTCCAATTTGGAATTAAAAATTATGGCAGAAGATAAAAAGTTTTCTAGTCTGGAAGGTCATGTGTGTGAAAATACTCTCAAAGGTATAGCAGATATGGGATTTTCTGTAATGACTGAAATTCAAGCAAAAACTATACCACCTTTGTTAGAGGGACGTGATTTAGTAGGAGCTGCTAAAACTGGCAGTGGAAAGACACTAGCTTTTCTGATTCCTGCTGTAGAATTAATCTACAAACTTAAATTTATGCCCAGAAATGGTACTGGTGTTATTATTATTTCTCCCACAAGAGAGTTGTCAATGCAGACATATGGTGTATTGAAGGAATTGATGAAACACCATCATCATACTTATGGACTTTTAATGGGTGGTGCTAACAGACAAACGGAAGCAACAAAATTATCAAAAGGTAATTTATTTTCAATAAGTTTAAAAATGTAATAAATTATTGTAATGCCTAATAACTTTACTATTGACTGTTCAATTTTTTTCCATGTGGGGTTGACTTTCAAATTACCATCGATTATACTCATTTTCAACACTTCTTAATTGTTACTCTTATGTACTTAAAATCATATATTTTTTTGAATATTTCATTTAACTTTTCTAAATTTGTATTTAAATTATTTATCTCAGTTCAATTTTTTCCATGACATGATTAAAACATTTTAACAGATCTTTTTTCTATATTGCCTAATAATTTTATTTGTTATTTTTGTTATTAGCATTTGTTTATAAAAAATTGTATTTGTAAATATCATATATTGTCAAATTTAAAAATATATATATAACAAAAAAGTCAAGTTTAGAAAAAACTTATTTCAATTCATGATAATTGTTTGGAAAATAAAAAAAAATTTTAGTTTATATTAGATGTCTATCAATCTTTCATATGACTATAAATTGCTGTACATTTTTATTTCATTCAGACTTATTTGTTAATATGTATTGTTTCATTACATTAAATTAAAAGATTATTTATTATATATTTATATATATTAGCATATGGCAAATTATTATGAATCCCACAAACAATAAGTAATATAGATTTTTGATACTGAAATTAAGATGTGATAAATTAAAATATCCTAATCTAGTTATATAATTAAGCAACTTAAAAACATGAAAAACAATATTTTAAATGTTTAATTTGTTTTAGGAATTAATATAGTTGTTGCAACTCCTGGCAGACTATTAGATCATTTACAAAATTCTCCAGATTTTCTATACAAAAACCTTCAGTGTCTTATTATTGATGAAGCTGATCGTATATTAGATATTGGATTTGAAGAAGAGATAAAACAAATTATAAATTTATTACCAAGTATGTTTCATAATAGTTAAAAATATTTTATTTTTATACCAGTTAATTATTTTTAGAACGGAGACAAACAATGTTATTTAGTGCTACTAAGACACCTAAAACCGATGCTCTGACTACTTTTGCCTTAAAAAAAGAACCTATATACATAGGAGTAGATGACAGTAAAGATGAAGCTACAGTTGATGGTTTAGAACAAGGATATGTTGTGTGTCCATCTGAAAAACGTTTCTTATTATTGTTTACATTTTTAAAAAAAAATAGAAAGAAGAAAGTTATGGTGTTTTTTAGCTCATGCTTAGCTGTAAAATATTTCCATGAACTATTAAATTATATTGATTTACCTGTTATGTGTATACACGTAAGATATTTATTCATGTTGTTAAATTTGGTTAAAATAGTTAATTTGTTAAATTTAATTAGGGTAAGCAAAAACAAGAAAAGCGAACAACTACATTTTTTCAATTCTGTAATGCAGAAACTGGTATATTGCTATGTACTGATGTAGCAGCTCGAGGATTAGATATTCCATTAGTTGATTGGATTGTTCAGTTTGATCCTCCTGATGATCCCAAAGTATGCATGCAAATAAAAATATAATTGATAACAAATAGTTATTTGACTTTACATTTTGATTTAAAGGAATACATCCATCGTGTTGGGCGTACAGCTCGTGGCGAAGGTAGCAGTGGTCATGCTTTATTAATTTTACGTCCAGAAGAATTAGGATTCCTTCAATATTTAAAAAAAGCAAAAGTCCCATTAAACGAATTTGAGTTTTCATGGAATAAAATTTCAGACATACAACTTCAACTTGAAAAACTTGTTGCTAAAAATTACTTCTTACATATTTCTGCTAAAGAAGCATTTAAATCATATGTTCGAGCTTATGATTCACATCATCTAAAACAGATATTTGATGTTGGCACTCTAGATATTGCTAAAGTTGCTGCATCTTTTGGTTTCACTACTCCTCCAGCTGTAGAATTAAATGCAAAAGCTATTCGACCACGAAAACGTCATGGAGGTGGTGGCTTAGGAAAATTCAATAATATGAATAAAAATGATAAAAAAGTATTTAAATTTGTACAACCACCAGAAAAAAAAAAAGAAAAATAAAAAATGATACTTGTTAAATTGATTTTATTGTACACTATTATTTTTATTTATAACTGTTTGTACCGTATATTTTCCTATTTAATTTCCAATCAACATAGTTAATCAATTATAATAACTTACCTATGTTATAATTTTTAACGGTTAATGTAATTTAAATAAAAACATATATTCTTCAAATATTAAATATCATTAATTTTACATCACACTATATGAGACTAATAAGAGATAAATTTTTTTATTACATTTTCAAGAAACTATATAGTTAGGTGTAGGTTTTTCAGACCGGATACCATATGGTAGGGTTGGGCAACTGATGGGGCCCACATACTATTTTTATCTGGCCCATGATATATTTTCAAATCGCTTCATAATACTTTAGTGGTTATCAGTATTGAATTTTCTCACTTTGATCATAAATTCAGATAATATATTTTTCTTTAATATTGAACTTCAGCTAAATTATTAAATGTATATATATATATATTCCCATATCAGTATAGCTCACATAGTTGTAGGTTTGTTTTATTATATTGATTCAGTTGTAAAATTAAAATAAATGTTGTCAACTTTGATGACCTTTTTTTAATTTTGCTTTCTTAACTCTGGTCCTCCAGATTTTAAAATTTTAAATAGGTCCATTAATTACTTTGAGTTGTCCATCCCTGCTATATGGTATCATTGGGAATTTAGGGATATATATTTTACTTTAAAATTTAACTTTGATGTTATATTGTATATTACGCATATGATCCATACATACTATCATTGATTATAGAATATTCTATAATCAATGATACTATGTATTACACAGGAAAAAGATGACGTTCTATGTTTTCAATTGGTAAACTAGTTCTCCACTACGGCGCGCTTTTTTATCATTCAGACAATGAGAAAAACCGCCGTTTTTATGCAACAATTTTGAATTATCTTATTTGATAACGATAAAGGATTACTTGTTAAGTATACGTCCAAATATTTTTTAAAAGTTATATCGTTCCAGTTACAACAGTGTATTTTAAAAGTTGTCTTCTATCTTATTATTACCAAAATTAAATTACCTTATCATGTATAAGAGAAAATTTCCAAAAACGAAGAATGTTGATGGGAACTTTTCGTCTTCGTCTCAATTACAGGAAACTACTAGTTCTTTAAATGATATTACACCGATTAAGGCTATAATAACCAATGAGACCGTTTTGGACGATGATGAGTCACCGGAGTCGCCATCAGTATTGGATGATTTCAGCGATTTTCCCATTGAAAAAAAAAGAAAAACTGTTGACATTTATTCAGATGATACTACTGATTGTTCAGAACCTCTATTTTGCGATGATGATGCTTATTCTTATTTGAAACAAACATTAATCAGTTGTGGTTTACATTTGAAGCCTGATCAAAACATATTGTGTAAGACTTATACGATTATATATTATTTATAATATATTGGTTTATTTACTATTGTAATTCTATAAAATTTACATAACATTTTTAGGTGTCAAAGAGTATATATTCTTACAAAAACTTAAATCTAAATTATCTAATGATTCTGAAGAAATCGGTGGAATTGATGATGTAAAAAAATTTTTTATGGAATTTGAAAATTACCATAATGATAAAATAAATCTTAAAGTAGCTCTAACACCTTATAAAGTATGTTTTCAAAAGTTATAAGTAGTTATTAATCTTCAATTATATGAACATATTAAAATATAGGAGATTCCTGAAAATAAACTTAAGCAACAAAGAGATTCTTTAGCTCGTCTTCTACTCCAAGTACCTCAACTTCAATCAAATTTGATTGATTTTTTTTTTGATAAAATGGCAGAAATCTGCTTAGAAGATATAACGTAAATCATCTAAGTTAAATAATTTAATTACCATCTATAGTTTAATTTATGTTTTAGAGATGATCTAGTATTACCTGTACAGAAATGGGTACGGATGTTGCTTAGACCGTTTAAGTATCTATATAGCATAATTGATTTAAGAAAAGTTTGCAATAAATTGTTTGATAATCTTAATGTAATATCTGATCTTGATATCAAAAGAGAATTAATTTTGTCAATTCCTGATATTGTTCTTGATAGTGAAGATCATGATGCTCATGATGGATTATGGTAAGGAGGAAAATCTTTTTTATAATAATATCTAAAATTATTTCCAAGTATTATTTTTGATTTTTAGTAAACTCCTGAGAAGTGACAAAGAATTAATGGCTTGTGTCTTGGAAACTATTGGTCAGTTAAACATTAGCAAAGATGAATTAGCATTCATTCAAATGGATATGATACCTGTTATTCATCATACTCCATCAGATACACTTCCTGCATTAGTTAGATTTTTAATTAAAGTAGATGATCGTACCCTAGCTGAAAAAGTTGGTTTAAAGTTAAAGTTTTTATAGGATAAAAATAAAATTAATGTAATTGTTTAACAACAGATTGTAAATGGATTAAGGTCAGAACTTCCATTTTCTACTTCAACCAATGATAATTTATTAAGCATACAGCTTGTGATTTTTAGTTGTATTTATGATAGATTTTTATCAAGCAAGTTGTTATTGGATGTTTGGATGAAGACTATAAGTCAAGTACAATCATATGCAGGACACAAGTAAATAATTAAATTTTTTTTTTTTTTGTTATAAATCCGTAGATTTGTTTGTTGCAACTCTCCATGCTTCTCTATTATAGAAAAATTCTTTCAGGTCCTTGTAACTTCCCTTATTCGTAACCTGCATTATCTGTGTCATGTATTCTGTTCTTTGTTTTTCTCTTGCAATATGTCCCTTATCATCTTCAATTATTTTCTTTAATAAACTTACATGCTTTAATATGTGCCCTATCATCTTGCCTCTTCTTGATTGAATGCTTTTCCATATTTTTCGTTGGTCCTTTATTTTATCTAGTACTTATTTATTCATTACCTTCTCAGTCTATGATATTTTAAGTATTTTCCTGTAGCACCACATTTCAAAGGCTTTTAGCCTATTTTTTTATTGAGTTTATTGTCCAGGTATCGGATCCAAAGAGAGCTACGCTCCAAATATAACTTTTTAGGAATTTCTTCCTTATCTCCAGGCTAACACTATTGGTAGTTAATATGTGACTTTTGTCTTGAAATGCTCTTTTCGCCTCTGCTATCCTGCAGATTATATTTGTTTTGCTGCAACCATCCTCTATTATATTGCTTTCTTCCTAGATATGTGAATTGTTGCACTTGCTCTTTTGTTTATTTTCGATATTTATGTTGATTTGAACCGGATTAGCTTTACTGCAAATCATAACTTTCATTTTCTTTTTATTCATTTTCATTCCATACTTATTTTTTAGTATTCTATCTATCGTTACTAGGGTATTTTGCATGGTTGTCTTCTTTTTCCGCACAGAAAGCTATGTCAGCTGAAAATCTCAAGGCAGTAACCATTGTTCCTCCTATTCGCACTCCTTTCTGTATTTCTGCTCTCAATTCTTCCATTGCCTTTTTAATGTACAAGTTGAATAGCATTAGTGACAAAATACAACCCTGTCTTACACTTTTTTTTATTTTTGCTTCTTGCTCTTTCCCATCTATCTGTATTATGACAGTTTGACTTTTGTACATATTATAGATAAATCTTCTATTGTTGTACTTAATAAATAATTAAATATAATAATTAATAGTTTTTACTATTGTGATTAACAATAATTTTTGTAATGTTTTAATTTTTTATTTTTTATTAGACCATTAGATGTTGTCATTATGTTTTTGGCTTATTCGGCTGCTTCTAATGATCAATCATCAAAAAGTAATATTTTATCAATTTTTAAAGAACGTTTAAAAAATGGATTTATTCGTTCTGAGGTTATGGAAAAGACTTTTCAAATATTTACTCCGGTTTGTAAACTAATCAGTGTTACTATAGAATTTTATGAAGTTATTTAAAATTATTTTTCAAATTATATTTTAAGGTATTCAAACAATATTTTGAAACATTCATAGATTTATTTTCCAATCTTCTAAAAGTTTCTGATTATACATCCATTGAAGTTGTATCTAGTATGATAATGTAAGTATATATCTAGTAAGTCACTAGTTTATCATCAATCAATAATGAATTAGTGTAATACCGGTTGAATATAGATTTACATTTTTTTACAACAACATTATTATTTTAGTAACTGTTTCATTAACATTCATCAATGCTGGTGTAAATGGATTGTGGATGAACTTCTTGTTCTGTTTGGTACTGGTAATAAGTTGACTATTGAAATTGTTTTAAATATTCTCTATGAATTAACTGAAAAAAGAATTGATAAAATTCAACCACTAGCTACTCGTTTGATGGTAATACTATATTTGAATTGTTGATATAGCTTAATTTTAGTAAAAGGTTCTTATATTTATAATCAAATTTTTCTTTATGCAGTCAGTCTTTATGAGTAAAATCTACGATTTATCTATCAAAGATATTGCTCAAGTATTGGACATGTTATGCAAAATTGCCTATTCAGAAGGTCCTGATGGCATTAATAACTGTTCTGTGTTCCAAGATGAAATAAACATATTTGTACAAAAAGAACTTTGTTCTCTTTATATTATGTAAATACTTTTTGAAATAGTCATTTTATTGTTATTGAAGATGAAACACTAGTAATGACGGAAAATAATATTTAATAATTCAACTTAACAGGTATCAAAGAGTTGGGATTATTGGAGCAATTATGTTGACTAAGCATATAGTTCTAGTATCCTCTGATGAAGAAAGTGTATCAATCGATAAATCTAGTGAAGATATTGAACTAACCAAAAAAGCAAAGGATGCTTACTCCCTCTTTGGTAATTAAGTGTAAGTTATAGTGTAATAATAATTTTTAATGCATACTTTCTGTTTTAGAATTATTAGTAACAAGGACCCAATCAGATACAGACTCTCAAATTTTATTTTTTGATCAATTTGCTCTTATGATGTTTCATTGTCTTCCTGTTGACAAAACTTTTTTGGTAACTTTTGTTTATTTAAACTTGTTCACATTTTTTAGTTTAATATATTTTTTGTTTTGTTTTTAAGTATGCTGTTTCTTCAGTTATGAAAAAAAACTTTCAATATAGTTTTTTAATAGCTGCTAGTGACTTTAAAAATGAGTAAGTAATTTTTTTAAATCAGTTTTATGTATTATGTTATAGTTTCCTCTATTTGAAGGAAAACAAAAAAAGATAAATATATTTACTTTAAGACTTGATTTTAAAGTTCTTATAGTTTTTTTTCTACAATATTGTTCAATATTATTATAAATAAATAATGTAACTTATTTGGAAAATACATACAGTTACAATCTAAATTCTTTATTGTATGCATAATTTTATCTATTTTTATTTAATCATTTACAAAAAAAATGTTTATTATTAAAAATGTATTTTAGGAAAAAGGTTTTTCTTTTTTATGCTGATTGTACCAATATTATATGTTTATTAATTTAATATTATATTTCATAGGAATTATTTAGTCGATTGTTCATTAGCATTCTGTCTAGATAAAGAGCTTGATGAGATTATTGCGGTTAATTTGTGCCCAAAAGTCATTGATGAAGTAAAAAAGAATGATAATGCATTAACAGGATTACAAAGTTGTCGTTCAAACGCTTTAACATCAATGTTTCGATTGGTTAGGGGTTTGGAGCGCGAAGATTTAAGTGAAATTGATGCATTATTGGGATGTCCACTTGTAATGCCTACACGTAAAACTATAGATGAATTTGAAATGTTATCTCCAGAACAACAAAGTGTTGTTGTTCATACACTTTTTCATGCTGTTAATTGGTTTCACGAAGTTATTAATTGTTTTTCTTACTTGATCAAACAAAAAAATGGAAACAAAGTAAATAATTGTTTCAAACACTAATATTATTATATTATTAAGATAATATGTTAAATTGGTTTTTAGGTATTAATTCGTTTGAGAACTATAATATATTTGATTAAAACAATAAAAAAATGTTTGTCGGTAATGTATGATCCAGAATATATTCCACCAACGTGTTACTATGGGTTGAATGTTGAAAAGCCACATTTTAATAAAAATAAAAAGTATTATTTATTATTATATTTCTAATTTAAATATTTATTGAATTAAACATTTTTTTTTTTTTAGAAAGTCATTAAAATCAAAACAAAAAAATACCAATAAAAAAGGCAAAAAAATAAAAGATAAAAAAAATGTTTCTTTAGAATCCACCAATACATCAAATTTTACTATGACTAATTTAGTAGAAGATGAAAATGATGATCATATTTTGGAAAATGAAGTAGATCTTAGTATTTATCATGACTATTTTCGTGAGCTTGATATTGATACTTGGCTCATTCTTACACAGAAGTTTGTTATAAATCCAGAACCTGAACATGTTTGTTGAATTCATTAATAATCTCATTAAAATACTTGTTATTGATTATGTTAATTTTTATTTGAAAATTTTAACACATTCATAGTAAATATTATTTTATATGATTTATATCATATTTTTATTTTTATTTTATAATTTTGTTAAGTTTCATATTTAAGATTGAAATATATTCAGCTCAAATGATTTACTCTTTCAATATATTATAGCTATTTAATTTTTTTTTTTTATTTAACATGGATAAATTTTTAAAAATGTATTATATGATTTATATTTAGGATGAAGAGTTTACTCCAGAATTAGGTCCTTCTGAGTTGCGCTATTTAATGGAAGATGTATTAAAAAAATTAGAATATCTTGTCTTTAAAAACAAAAGAATTAGCCATTTGTCTAAAATTAAATCCAAAGATACTGTTGGATTTAGTAATGTTTCATTAGTACCTACCAAGACCATTTTAAAAAATTTTATTAAACTTCTTCCATATTTGTTTACTGATATGGAAATTCTTTCACAATTTTTCAAGGTATAAATATTAATTGAATAATAATTAGCATGTAGAATGATAAAATTACTGTATTTTTTTAGAATTTATTAATGGCAAATGACAACATATTGGATTCTGCTGGAATGTTCATGGCGGAAACATATGAAATGAAACATTGTGTTGAATTAATTTTGAAATCTATAGTGGTATTATTTCAATGGAAAGATTTTGAATCTTCTGATATGGATGATCTTTTTATAAGTATAGTCTCTTTGTGTTTATATTTAAAATCAAAACTATGTTAATATTATTCTTATAATTAAGATGCACTAAAAAAAATGACAAGCAAGACAGATTTGAGTAGCCAAAGTACTCAGTTTAAGCGTCAAATATGCAAAAAAGGATTAATTTTGGAAAAAATAGGTTATTTAACGGAATTTCAACACATAATTCTTCATTTAGATGCTGCTGTTAATTTAGTCACTCTAATACAAACTTTGAAAAATTTCTCTGATGAACCAGAAAACAATATTATTTTAAGTAATTAATTATATTGATGATAAATTCAAAAATATTCTTATTTATTGTTTGTTATTTGTGCTAGGAGATACTTGTTGGAATTTTTTAACTCGACAATGGTATTCAATGACAGGATTAGAAGAAAATGGTCCAAAGTACAATGATAAAATAACGTTTTTACTTGAAATATATTTACAATGTCAAGATAATCAGTTGAAAAAATTAGTAGAAATTGTTGATTGGTTAGAAGTAGAAGTGATAGCCATGGAGTCAAAGACTGATAGACTAAAAACATTGCCTACAATTAATAAGTAAATTTAGTAATTTTAAATAATTTCTTATTTTTAATTAAATTTTTTACATATCTAGAATGAATTTTAAGTGTTTAATCAAAGTTGTATTAAACTCTTTATTGGGATCTGTGAAAGCTAGCTTAAAAACTGCTGAAAATGAAATAAATCGCTTGGATATTTGGCAATCGGCTATTTCTGTGATGGGAAAAATGGTTCAAGCAATTAAAAAACAAGATTCTCGGAGTAATCTTCTTATATTTGTTAAAGTATTAAACATTATATGAAAATTAATTAAATTGACTGGTAATTTACTGTTTCTTGCATTTTCAGGGTTCTATATTATTATTAAAATTATTCTTAGCTGAAGGAATGATGGTGTGCCATAATTTATTTAAACTTAAAACAAAAGAGGTTTCAAAGGTTTTCAAAAGTCTTCAAGTAATTACTAGGTACATACAAAACATATGCAATTACACAAAAGTGAGTTACAACTCAAATAAATTATAACTGAAAAAAAAATTTCCTTATACTGATTTTTTACTATAGGTGATTAAAGATAATGCACTTAGTAATTGTTTACCTAACATCAGAGGTATCTTAGAAGCATTAATATTGAAAGTTAAAAATGTTATTGTTATGAATGGTTGTACTGACGCATTTTTTATGGGTATTATGAAAAATATCGATATTAAAGGAGAAGAAATAATGTCACAAGTAAATCAATTACAGTTTGTTATAATAAAAATAAAATTATAATAATCATTATTATTTTTTGATTATAGAATGATAGCGATGATGAAACTGATGATGATGAAGATGATGATAGAAGTGAAGACAAAGATGAAGCAAATGATTTAATTAACCTTTTAGGTGATGATAAGATTCAAAATGAAAATTCAAGTTCCGATTCTGATAATGATTCTTCAATATTGTAATTAACATATGTAACATTCATTTTTTATTGTTATTCTTTTTTTAAAAAAATTTATTAGAAATTTTTATATTTGTACTTTTATCTTTAAATAAATTCAATGCATGGTTTTTAACAAAATGTTTGATCAATACTTTATTTTGTCCATCCATTATCATATAAAAAATGTCTCGTGAAGAATCTCAACAGTCTTAGTAAGTAAATTATTCTTGATTTATCTCTATTAAATGGTATTTATTTTATTTTTCATTTCCTAGTGAGATTGTATGTAAAAAACGTTTAAAATTGTCAAATCAAAACTATTTAAATCTGGTTTTTTAAGGAAATAGATGATTTGATTTTAAATCAAAATTCGGCAATTGATGGTGTAAATTTTCAATGTTTGTTCGAAGACCGATTTCCTTACAACGAATTTCAACTTAATTCATTGACAAATCAGCAACAAGATCGGCTTAGGAAAATGTTTTATTACCGAAAACCATTTATATGAAAATACAAAGAGCAAAATAAATAAATATGTTAAATATGAACTAAAGAATCTAATTTGAAGTGTTTATATCGAATTTGCTTTTTATAAAATATTGTAAAATAATTATAATGAAAGAGGTACTAAATGGCTATTTAATTTACGTGAACATTATGTTTGTGCCACGATACGTATGTAAGCTCGCACTAGAACAGTAGTATGCCTTCAAAAACTGTGTCACCAGACATGCGCGTTTCCCTTTCCATTATTGATTTTTGTAAAATTATTGATAACAATGTTGATAGTGATGTATTCGTTCTGGATTTTGTGTCGATATGTGTTTTACTTCAAACAAGCCAATAGCTGTTGATGCCGCGTTGTTAGAATAATTAACTTTATTAATTAGTAAGAGTTTCATTTTTACCCTGCCATAGTACCACGGGAATTCAGCGAAAATGGTGGTAAGTTAAAATTTAATTGAACGAGCTAAAATTATTTTAATAGTTAACATTTTATTACATCTTGGTAGATTTTGAAAGCAGTGAAGTGCTTGGCAGACGATTGGGCTCTTACGAATTGTGTAGTAGTGAATGATGAAGATTTTCGAAATGACACAAAGTACGCATAAATTGATAATTTCCAAATTATTGTTGAAACATGTTAAAATTAAAATACTTTTAGGTATATTGAGGTACAGCACCAAATTAAACCGGAACTTAAGTTTTGGTTTACAGTCATGTTTGTTAAAAATCCTCCTCCTCGAGGATGTGTAGCATTTTCTGTAAATCAGCGAGAATGGGCACAATTATCTATTAATCAGTCAATCAACATTGCTCCACATACCAAAAATACACCACTTGACTTTTTGCTTTCAGTTGAAGCTGAAATTGATTATTATCAAAAAAAGTAAATGAATAAATTTCCTATTTTATTTTTTATTATAATTTAATTTTATTTTTGGATCCATTTTTAAGGAATGCTAAAACTGCCAATGAAAAATTTGATACTGATATGATGGCTAAAGAGTTTACAATCAACTTCAACAATCATGTTTTATCAGTCGGTCAAACTTTACTTTTTCAGTTGCCTGAAAAACCTCTAATGTGTATTATAATCAAAAGCATTGAAGGTATATATTTTATCAGGATACTTGAAAAAGTATCTAATTTTTAAAATTCAACTTTGTCATTATTAATTTTTGTTAAATAAAATGAGCAAAACTAACCATGTAAGTATGTAATCTTAAGTGTAATGGCTTGATTTTGGACTGTAGTAATTTTATAAATATAAAACCATTGAAATCAAACATTAATGTAAACAAATGTATTCATGAATAATTAATTTTATTTCATTAAAAACTTTGAAGTAATTAGAATTTCTATTAGGCGTCAAAAAAAAAGAACCTACATCCTATGATTTTTATATAAATTTTGTTTTTAAAATTTCATCTAGAACATTTATTTTCTTACATTGTTCAGAACATTTAACTGTTAATTGTTTTTACGTATTAATATAACTAAAAATTTTATAAATAAATTGTACATAAGTACAAAAGTAATAATAACATTCTCAAAACAATTTATGTATAACATATTTTAGAAATTTTTAATAGTAAATCTTAATATTTCGAATTATATTTTGATTATAAATTGTAAATTACTCATATGTATGATGAAATTAAAATATAAAAACTTTTAATTATTTGATTATCTACTCTTTAAAATGTCTAGCTATTAATAGGAAGTATAATCAATTTTTAGTGGCTATATCCAGAGCTATCTTAAGTCTTAAGGATTTTTGGAGCTTGGGGTAAATTAATTTGGGCTCCACAATCATCACAATAATATACGATTATGATTAAAAAAATACACAACAAGCTTGCAAAATGTTGGTAAATATAGTTTTCTAAATTTCAACTAATTAAGGTAATTTATGCTACGATAAAATGTATTACATTTTTAATGACTTCTCAACAATGCATTACCAATTACCAGATTTAATTAAAATTAATTTTATTTCTAGATAATTTATAAACAGCCATGGGAAATTAGAATTTGGATGTTGTTGCATCGATACTTGCGATAACAAATTTCTATGTAAATTTGGATAAAATTATGTAATTTTTCACACTCCAGAAATAATCATAATAAATTACATTTACAACTATTTAGATATTAGAATAATTTAAAATGTAGCATATATAATAACTTCAATACAATATAGAATAAATTATTGTATAGTAAAATGTTATTTGTATACTTATTTGATGAATTGACACCTATGCTTACTTAAACCATTACTTTCAAAATCATTTTTTTCGTAACAATATTTTACGATTAATGCAGTCTATGAAAATATAAATTCTAATATTATTAAATACTTAATATCAGATAATTGTTATCACTTGGTATACCACAGTAAAAATGTTCATTTAGGCTTAATTTTGCTTGGAATATTAAATTTTTATTATTTTAATTGGTAATATTTTTTTTAATATTTATTAAAAATTATTAACTACTGTTTTACTTTTATTTAATATATGAATTTAGATATGTTTTGACTATAAAAATATTAAAACAAAATCTTTTTTTTTTTAACTTTCTTGTTTTAAAAACTATTTAATTTATGTTTTTAGGAGTAAATCAACAAGAAATCAATTCTGGGGAAAAACCTCGTTCGATTCAGTTTGGAAAATGTTTAAGTAATACTGCTGTACGTTTCGTAACTGGTTCTAATGCATCAATAATGTTGGTAGGAAAGTCAAAATGGTGAGTTTGTTAATTATATTAATTACTTTATTTAATTGTATTATTTAAATATTTTTTAGTCAACAAACACGCGTGTCAATAATAAATCCAGACTTTGATTTCAACAAAATGGGTATTGGTGGTTTGGATAGTGAATTTAATGCTATTTTTAGAAGAGCTTTTGCATCTCGAGTGTTTCCACAAGAAATAATAGAACAACTTGGTAAAATCAAATTTAATATTGATAATTCTTCTACAAGTTAAATTTAACTTTTTTTAATGAATTTAGGATGCAAACACGTCAAAGGTATTTTGTTATATGGTCCACCTGGTACAGGTAAAACATTGATGGCTAGACAAATTGGACAAATGTTAAATGCTCGTGAACCCAAAATTGTCAATGGTCCACAAATTTTGGACAAATACGTTGGTGAATCTGAAGCAAATATAAGGAGATTATTTGCTGATGCAGAAGAAGAAGAAAAAAGAGTATGTCTGATGATAAGTTGAGAAAATTTATTCATATTTCATAACTGTTTTTAATATTTTAGTCTGGTCCAAATAGTGGTTTGCACATAATAATCTTTGATGAAATTGATGCTATTTGTAAAGCAAGAGGCTCTGTAGGGGGAAATACAGGAGTACACGACACAGTGGTCAATCAATTATTAGCTAAAATTGATGGTGTTGAACAGCTTAATAACATATTAGTTATAGGGATGACAAATCGAAGAGACATGATTGACGAAGCATTATTAAGACCTGGCCGACTTGAAGTATGATATTTAAGTCGAGTTCTTTCATTCTCATAGCTGACTATCATTACTTTTATGTAGGTACAAATGGAAATTAGTTTACCTGATGAACATGGACGATATCAAATATTGAACATCCATACAACACGCATGAAAGAGTTTAAAAAAATTGCTGATGATGTAAACATGAAGGTAAAATATTTATTATTATTGATTTTAAATTTAATTTTTATTAAATGATAATATATTTCTTGTTTTTATGAATATTTAGGAACTTTCAGTGCGAACTAAAAATTTCAGTGGTGCTGAATTGGAAGGTCTAGTTCGTGCAGCTCAATCTACAGCTATGAACCGTTTGATAAAAGCTAATAATAAAGTAGAAGTCGATCCTGATGCATCAGAAAAACTTCAAGTGTGCAGGGATGATTTTCTTCATGCACTTGAACATGATATAAAGCCAGCATTTGGTGCTAGTGCAGAGGCTTTGGAACATTTTTTGGCTCGTGGTATCATAACATGGGGACCTCCCGTGAGTGGAATTTTGGAAGATGGAACATTACTTACACAACAAGCTCGTGTTGCAGATGCATTTGGTCTTGTTTCTGTACTTATTGAAGGACCGCCAAATTCTGGAAAAACTGCATTAGCTGCAATGTTAGCAAAAAATTCAGACTTCCCCTTTGTTAAAGTATGTTCACCAGAAGACATGGTTGGGTTTACTGAAACAGCCAAATGCTTACAGATCAGAAAAGTAAGTTACTGAAATGCAAATTTTAAATTTTAACTATAAATTAGAATTTAAAAATGATTTCCTTTTTCATTCTAGATCTTTGATGACGCATACAGATCTCAACTTAGCTGTATTTTAGTTGATAATATTGAACGATTATTAGACTATGGTTCAATTGGGCCAAGATACTCCAATCTGACACTTCAAGCTTTGTTAGTTCTGTTGAAAAAACAACCTCCTAAAGGTAAAAAACTTCTAGTGCTGTGCACCAGCAGCCGTAAGCAAGTACTGGAAGAAATGGAAATGCTATCTGCTTTCACTGCTGTACTTCATGTTCCTAATCTCAGCCAACCCGAAGAACTCATTACTGTACTGGAGCAATTTGATTTGTTTACCAAACAAGATATTCATAAGATATATAATCAAATATCAGGACATAAGTAAGTTCTTTACCTAATTTATCTTATTAATATTTTGACATTGGTTAGAAATAATGTAATACAAATGAAAATATAATTTTATGATTAGAGTGTTTATTGGTATAAAAAAGCTGTTAGCTTTAATTGATATGGCACGTCAAATGGATCCAAAAGTAAGAGTGATCAAGTTTCTGACTAAAATGGAAGAAGAAGGATGTCTAGACTTAGGTACTATGATTCATTAACTGTTGTATTTATTACTTATTATTGTTTTCAAAATAATTTAAATAATATTACTAAATCTTTATAAAAAACGAACTATGTTGACATTCCAAATTTATTGAATAAATAGGCAGTATTGTTGCGTTAAATTAAGTATTAAATACCATTTTAATATTTCTTTTTATTCTTGTTTTTATTAAATTATTGTTTGATCTTAATGTTATTCAGATTTCATGTTTGCGTCCATTTAATTGTTATGTGTAAAATATTTTATATAATTAATTCTTAAATTGTATAGTATGGGCTATAAATTATTATTTATTTTTTAAAACAATGTTTGAGTTATGTTATAATTTAATGTTTATATTTCCTATTTATATATGTTTGTTTGAAAATGATTATTAGTTGAATCATTTTTTAATAAGTAGCTATGAAACAATTTTTATTTTATTTTGATGAATTAAATCTCACTAAGATTAAATCACTCAATTATTACGTTTTTTTAAAAAAAATTTAAATAACCTCTCCTATATAATATTCAAATATAATAATTAAAACTAGTTATTAGTTATTATATTGTTTCTAGATAAATTAGTTATTATGTTGTTTGATTATTAATTTAATTTTTATTAAAATAATAATTACCATGCTTTTAAAGTTTGTTGTAGGGACTCATTTGAAAATAAAAATTAATAGTTATTGTAAAATTATTATTGATAACTCATATATTTATGTAACTAGTTATTAATGTAGTAACAAATTTTCAAGTGTAATTTTTAAAGTTTTATATTTTCAGCAACATCTTGTTTTAAGTAATTTAAAACGTGTATGTTATATCAATTACTAATATGTATTCTATGTATTTTATATTAGTGAAACATGTTTCAGTTAATTCAATTTAAATAATAATGGAGACATTTGAGGTAATAAAATGAAATTAATTGACATTATTTTTATCGCTAAAAAATAGATTATGTTTGGAGACATGTTTATATTAGTAGTTGTCAATTTGATTTTTAATAAACGCTTTAATCATCTATTTTTAATTTATTATTTCTTCTACTATACCTTATTTAATATTTGTTTGAAAATTAACTGATAGATATTATTGTTGTTACAAAATTATACATGTGCCATTGATAGGGTTTTTATATTTACTACTTCAAAAATTATTATGTTAGCAAAAATTCAACTAGAGGTGTATGCTCAGTTAAGTTAAAATCATATGTAAGTGATGAATTTGTGTATCATTTAGAAAAATACTATTTTTATTATTTCTCTTAGAAACAATGACGAGCCAAAACCATAAAAATCTTTTTTCTGATCTTAAATATAAATAATTAACAATACAGGCTTTTCAGTCTACATGATTACGCTTAACAATAGGTGCTGCCAGGTACATCACTAATGATTCACTTCATAAAGATATTTGCATTCCAACTTTAAATAAACTTGCTATGTTCACCTACAAAAAAAACACAAAACTTTGAGTACTTACTCAAATTCTATTATCACTTATCTTTCATGTAAACAAATTTCAGGAAACCCTCCCAGGCGCCTACTCTCTCCTTAAAAAATATAAAAACATTACTCTCGGGGCGCTATCATTGGGCGACTTCTTTTTCCTGTTAGTAAATCTCATCCAATTTACCTATTGTATTATTTTTGAATACAGATTGTAAATTAAGACGTTTTGATTTTTGAATTAAAAAAAATAAATTATAAAAAATTCATGTTTGATGAAAAAAAAAATGTCATTAATTTTTATCAATATAATATTGCATCTGATGAGTGGTAATTACTTTTTACGATATTTAATTTTTTTCGTATGATAGAACGATTCTCAATAAGTTGTAGCAAGTAGATATAGTAAAATAATATTTCTTGATATACATTTAAAATTAAAATTTAAATACATTTATATTTAAACGTGGAGTTAATTGGCAATTGCTAAATATAATCGATGAATAATGCTAAAAACCTAAAATATTGCAGATTATATATATGGTAACACACGGCCCGATGTTTATTGATAATACACTCGATAATTCGAAATTCAGGGGACTGAGCTAAAAATTCGATTATAGAGGTTTTCGATTTACCGAGTGTTCGAATAATCGAAGAAAAAAAATTAATTCGAATTAAAGAGAGGTGAAAAATTATATGTATATATTACATTTATTAATTGACATTTATTCATTATACATATTATGTATTATATTTTATATTTATTAAGTGACATTTATTTATTATATTATTATATTTTACATTTTAAAGAAATCTGTTTTTTTTTTCGTGTTAAATTTTTCGCCACAATCTGGACCATAACGTTATCTAACTTACTGATAGCATTGAAAATTGTATCGCATCCTTTTTCGTCTATTTCAGAATACCTCGAAAATGTTCGTAATCCTGACATAAAAATGGTAAAATGATACGATTAAAGTCTAGATTAGGTAGGTAAGGGACGATAACATTTATAAACTACGATAATATTTAATTGCTGTCGTTATTAATTTCATTGCGAGTACGTTAAATAGATGTACATATAAATATACTTTATACATATGAACATACGTATAACCACGTTAAAGCAAATTCGAATTATAGAGGTTCTGGAAAAAAATTCGAATTGTAGGAGTGAGTTCCACCAACAGTAGGGTTGCCATACGTCCCGGAAAACCGGGATTGTCACTAGTTTTGGACTTCGTGTCCTGGTGTCCCGAAAAATGTTTTCGGGACGTCCATATGTCCCGGCTTAGACGTCTAAAGGAAATGTAGTATTGTTTATTTTTTTAATTTCGACCAGTTTATTTCAAAGTACATTTTTAATCGTAATCGATTAACAATATATAATAAAAACATTATTTGTAATTTACACATATAATATATTTTATTTTACAAAAATATTTTTAAATATTATATTGCCGGCATAGACGTACGCACGGGGGTAACCGGGTAGGCCGTGGCCCCCCCTGTGGACTCTGGATTTTTCTTATTTAGGTGTATATCTATATTATACAAGATGGCGAACATTTTTACATTTTACATGAATAAAGTAAAGCCTGTTTTAATTATATAGTATAGAATTTATATCTGTGAATAAATGTAATAAAGTTATTAGTTATTAATCAGACTAATCAGAACTTGAATATAATATAAAAATTGAAGATGTAATTCATGCATTCAAAAACCTTACTCTCGTTGACAGAAGGATGGAGTTTTTATTTTATTATTATTTTCTTTTTTTTACGTTTTTAACACTCTTACACTAAGAACATTATTTTATAACATTTAAAAAAAGGCCTAGGGGAACTGACCTCTACAACCCCCCTTGTATACGTCACTGGTCCTCCCAATATATTAAAAGTATATTACTCAATAATTTGTTTGTTTTGTCCCGGTTTCGCCTTATAAATTTATGGCAACCCTAACCAACAGACATTTCGAATTATAGAGGGGACTGGAATACATGTATTTTTTTCTAATTATAGAGGTTTTCAGGGGACTAAGCGTTTAGTTCGATTTATGGAGTTATTCGAATTATCTAGTGACTACTGTATTTTTAATGTTTTTATCACCGATGGTCACTATCAAAACTTGCCATAGGCGTGTGCAGACTCTAAAAGCCGGTAGTGCCCATATATTATCATCGGCCCTTTAGTCAACCATTTTATAAATACAACACATCTAAATTATATATACCTATTTAATATCAACACAAATCCTATATTATCTTACATAGTTTATAATATAATAATAGTAATAATAATAATAATAATTATAGATTATAATATAATATAGTTTAAAGTTTTTTTTTTTCAATACTTTATATCATACAGGTACAAGTTAATTAAAATAAAGGATAACGAATATAAAAATTATGAATGACATAGATAGAAGTTATATAAGTATTTTATGTACTTAGAGAGACATTTGTCTATTACCCATACTATTGAACTCATCTATTACTGCATTTAAATCTATCTTTGATACCATTTCTTGTTCCGTAAAAAGTAGTAATAATGACTCCAAACGTTCTTGACCCATTGTACTGCGTAATTTGTTTTTTACAACAGTTAATTTTGAAAAAACGCGTTCACATGTACGGCTGGTTACAGGTATGATTGTAAACATTTTTAAAGTTTTAAAAACACAAGTATATACAGTGGAATTTCCAGAAGTTTTCAACCAATCAATCCATTCATAAACAGATTCAATAGTAGCACCATTTAGTTGCATAGCATTTTGATAATTTTTCATAAGTTTCAGTTCAGTAATTAAATCTTGCGTCAATCCACAGTACGTGTACCCGAGTAAATAAAAATAACATATTAATATGATATACACCACTAAACACTCGCTGATTGAGATGCATGAGTTCAGAATTGTATGTCATTATAAATGGAAAACCCTACGTAAGCTCTTATATTTATTTTTTAAATTTATTGAAATGTTAACATGTATACCATATTGACTCATATTTAATAATTCCGATTACAAGATATCTTTATATATCTTATATACCTTTTTATATATCTTTACTATATTATATTAGTTTATTATATATACATTTATGATCAAACTATAACCATATGCTTAACAACCGCAACATCTATAAATAACATATAAACCGCGTTATCGCGACCAGACTAAACCGATTCTCCGAACCGTCGGAAATCAGTTTGAAACGATCACAAAGGGTTGCGATTTCGCCGATAAAACGCTAGTCTTATCCGGGCCTAAGAATATTTATGCAAAAATGTGTCTATATACAATAATATATACAAACTTTCATCTACAGAGTGCACATAGTGAATTTTAAAATTTTTTTCAAATTCTCTTTAAAATTGAATTTTGTAATTTAGGTAGATCAGAGGCATAGGGCGCTTCGGCCCATGAAAAATCACAGGGCGTGCCTGGACACGCCCGGCACGCCCTGTGCGCACATCTATGAAACTTGCCAACGTTTTCCTCATGTATTTATTTTAAATTATTTTATTATTTACATTCATTTATATTCTAAATCTATAAATATAAATTACCAGAGCCGGATTTAGTGGTGGGAGAGATGGCCAGTGGGTATGCTTGCCCCAAACGCTG